GATTGAATTCACTTTCAACGACTTTATCGAAATAACGATTCAACATCTTGTCCATCATGTTTCTCGATTTCACTTTGTGTGGCTTGTATCGAATGATTGGAATTGTAGCAACGTATTCATCCATTTACTATGGGAGGAACAATGTGGGGCGACTTTGCCGTCTCCCCTTCTTTACTTTGTATCTTTCGAATAACACGAAATCGTGAATGAGATGTACACATTCGAATTCAAGGAGATCGGACGGTCATTCGCGTCCGTCAGTACCCAATCAATGTAGTCCAGGTTCGATTGTTCAATCACATCGATCGATAGGTTGTCCCAGGTGATCATGTTGTTCAGTCCCATCGATACATGAATCAGGTTATCGATCAACGGACTCTTCAGACCGAATGTTTGAGCATTGATACTACTGTACACTCGGATCACACTCATGCCATTCGTGATGTCGTAGGGTTCACTCGCTACCATTCCTGCCTCAACGATACCTTCCAACTTGAGAATACTCGTGTAATCAGGTGCGCCACTAAGGTCAACAGCGGTCGCCACATCACTATTCAGGTATGCTCGGTTAACATCGTCTACCTGGATGGAATCGGCTATCGCACGGCATAACTCGGTAATCGAGTAGTAGCCAGGACCGACGTTGTACACCATTTCAAACCCTGACAGCATTTGAACCTTCACCACATTCATTGCACGAATGTTCCAGAGAGAAGTGGTATCGATCTTGCATGTAATCGAAGTGATCTTGTACACAAGGTCACAAGGCATGATCACTGTGTTGAACGTTTCATGGTATCGTTCGTTGTTCTTCGGAATTACTGTATTGTGGTTAATCACACTCACCGGTAGTGCACGATTATGACTCATTTATTGTGTGGAAGTGAATACACACTGTAATCGGCATTGGTAAGGCAATCGTTGCACCGGTCTTATCGGTCAACGAGAATGACCATTTGCGACTTTTGGGTACCACGACGTTCATGTGTGCATTCTCCGTAAACTCCTCGTTCAATACAACCAACGGAGACTGTCGTCGTTCTTGCATGTTGTTCACTCGATCAAGGACAAGGCAGGTGCCAGGCGATTCTCCTTTCATCGATATCCGATCGATTACCATGTCGCTTTTGATGAGATTGTTACTTGTGAATTCATGTTCGTACGTTCGAGCAATATTGAACACTAGATTCATTTATTATTTCCTCCTGAAACGGTGAATCCGATTAGCAGGTACACGTTCCCAATGAACGATAGCGGGTCACCATTTTCGTCCTTCAATTCGTACACGATGCGATCAAGCAATTCAGAACATGGTACCAACATGCGATTCTTGTAGAAGTAGTTCTTGTACAAGCTGTCCATCGGGACATTCGCAAGCAGTGGTATCGTCTTGCTTTTCACGATGTTGCAATACAGCTGTATGTTCGATAGACCGTTCGTGATATCGACAGGATACTCGGCAACCATCGGACCATAGTTGGCATAGTACACACCATCGTCGAAAGGGATACGCCATGTATGCGATTGCGATCCTGAAGCGGGAATGATCGTGCCAAGGTTACCACTCAACGAGAACACATAGTCTGCGTGAATGTAGTACCCATCTGACTCGGGTATCCATCGTATGTTTAGTGCAGCAGAGTTGAAACATTGGTTCAATCGCCATACCAAGTCAGCCTGAGTCAGTCGTGATGGTATGCTCCACGTGAATGTCTGAGCATCATCCGTGTACGTGATATCAGTCTCAACATTCTCTCCATCGAGACTCATCACGCCGTACGGGAAGCGCATCGTTGAATCACCCTTGTACGTTTGTGACTCTTCCCAATCAACGAAGTCAGCCGACGTGAACGAGTGGGAACCTATGAATCCAACGCGTGTAGGCTGTATGAACGTCACAGTCATTTCACGATTCGTGATCACACTCCTATTGATCATGTTCGTTGCAGTCAGCCCATCAATGTTTGTCATCGCAAACTCGTAAGGTGTTGTCAACTCGGGCATCCTGATGTAGTAATTGCGATGAAAGGTGAAATCGATTCTACGAGTCAATCCTGGAGTCAATGGCAAGAAGGGGTTGTCATTGGATATGACTAGCATCGAAGGATGATCATTACTTCGAGGACCTATGTATACCAGACCACCATTTTCCACTCGATCAAATATCCGATATCCATCGATTGCATTGAAACCATTAGCAACCATCTGCGCGATCTTCAAAGCACTGTATGATCCTCGTGCGATTGTTACATCCACTGTCTTGTCGTAACCTTCTAGTCCAAGGACGAGATGTGTGGTATCAACCCAGACACTATCGTTGTACACACTGTCCTTGGAGTACAATGGCCCGAATGATCCACCACGCTTATCGTCGTTAATCGTTATGGGCACATTCATGTTCTCAGCTGTCATGTCAAACTCAAGGTCAGGTGCGTAAGCTTTCGCAGACCACGTTACTGTATCATCTGCTTTGCCACCAGTCCATGCAATGGCTTCCTGGTGCGATGATGTGATATCACGTGCCTCTTGGTACTTCGCATTCAACTGTGATAAGCACGAGTTCCTGAGTGATTCCAAGGACATCAGTGTTTCCGTGTCTTCCGTTACGTAGAATGTGCCAGAATCGAACAATGAACCATCACTATTCGTCATCGTGTACGTCACTTGTGGCTTCAGTATGAAGAAGGGTGTAGTCGTGTACAATTCCCAGTCATATTCGACAAAGCACGGATCGAGGTATGCATGACCACCAAGTCCTTGATCATTCGTCTCATCGGGTGGGGTTTCACTATTCGCAGGATCGAATTGAGTCTCAATAGGTCGCTCGATGCACAGGTTCTGCACAGACGGAGACAGTTTGAACCATGGAGTCCATTCAAAACCATCGATCGTCGTATCAACACTGGATCGATCGAAGTACCACGATTCACTTTGGTCATTGAAGCGTACATGGTCATCCTCGATCGTCATGGATGTGAGTGGTAGCACTTTCACCATTTCAGCACCCACAGCCTCGATGAACTCGCTGAACGTGTAGTATCCAGTAGGCAGTATCAACACGTGCGAGTCCGTGCCGTTAGTAACAACCACTTGATTGCACGAGGACGACATGTAGTAGCGCTTCGGGTTGTCCACTCCTTTCACCAAGATGTCAGATTCAAATCCAAGGATCGATTTGATCTCTGGTGCTTTCGTGAAATCGATCGTGTAGAAGTGATTCACCGTGACGTGGAATGCGTTCTCACCACTGTATACCAATTCGAACAGGGCATCACTCGCATTCAGCTTTGCAATGATCGTTTCGATGTCGTATGCACCGCGTGGTATCGCGATCTCTTGAATCGTAGCGCCAGCATTGATTAGCACCACTTGATCAGTCGGCACATTGTGCAACACGAAGTCCGTATACAACGACACAGACGAGATGTAGCACTGGTCGAACGACAGAGGATTGTCCAGCTTCACTTCCTTCTTCGTAGTATTACCGAACACTTCGATCATGGAGAACTGGTTTGCAGAGGCAATTGAGGAAGGCACTTCATCATACACGTCCTCAATCGTCAACTGCAGTTCGAATTCGCCGTTCAGACGCATCATCTTGCCATCCATATCGCGGAACACGAACATCAATTGATCAAACCGAGTGATCATTGGTATACGCACGTCTTCCACAGTTCGCACATAGTCAGTTGTTGGATCGTCAATGATCATCGTGGTGAGCAGGTTGTTGTTCTGGTTGGCAATCTTCAGGTCCGATGATCGCACGATCGTCGAGTAGACTTGGATCACTTGGCGATTTCGCGTGATATCAATCACATTCGATCCACTGAACGAAGCAGGTAGAATGACCGTTCGTCCATCGAAGCCGAGGATCTCACGAATGTCAGGTGCATTCGTGAAGTCAATCGTATGTGGAGACTGAATCCAGATACAGCCGAACGACGAGGCATTCGTGGATATGGAAAATGTAGTATCGGTCATGGTATTGAGCAAGGCAATGATCTCACTGATCGTGTAATAACCAGCAGGGATCGTCACAGTCTCGTCATTGCTGTTAGTAATCACATTGGTCGTGTCTACGTTATTAAACATCGAACCATTAGGATGAAACAGGACAGTCATGGAAGTGATGTAGGGATTCTTGTACTTGTACGGGTTGATCCATGTGAATGAGCCGTTACTAGGTGAGCCTTGAATAAGCATGGAGTAGTGCATGGTCTTTCTCTCTTTACCTTAGTCAACAAGACAATGGGGAGGAATCGAAGCAGGGAGAGGCGTAGCCTCTCCCAGGGCAACGAGGGACGACTTCGTCGTCCCGAGGGAGCATAGCTCCCCCACGTAGTTGCCCCATCACAACCATGGATACCATGGCCTACAATGGAAGTCAGGTTAACATTGGCCGAAATTGGCAGTCATGGGTTTTCGCGCGTTTCTTGTTATGGACATCGAGGTGAGCAGGTAGACAATGGCAGAAAATGGCCGAAAATGGTCGAAAAATGGTCGAAAATTGATTTCCGCGGTTATTTGGTAGGAAATGGATTTCCGCGTGTTTTACGCCATTTCCCTACTACTTAAAATCAGTGGTATCATCTATATAAGACGAATTTTATCATCCACGTATATTCATTTCGGTAAGAATAAGTGTTTACAAATTTGTTCTGTACTGCCTTTCATTTGGAGAATTATTTTCATGTAACCCGCTTTTTGCCTCTTGAATGGATGCTATTCACTGTTATCCTTTTCCAACGTTCACTCTCATTTCTCATCAGCACTTGTGCACACTACTATCATAACCTTATGGCACCACTATCTGTTATATTGTATCAGTAGGATACAGTGATTCCTATGTAGGATACTAAATAGTATTCGCAAAATAAGCCATATTTTTGCTTTACTTGTGTTTCACTTTTTAAGTTACTCATATACTGTTTTTATTGTATTTCCAGTTGACACATCGTATCCATTTGCTGTTACTCTTCCATTTTACGTCTTAAGTAGTAATGACCAAGTTTACTCTTGTCTTGTATATACTGTTGTATTATACAGCTTTTGTATTGATATTTCGTGTTTCTGTGGACGACTCTGGAAATTGCCTTGTTTCTAACAAACTACAATATCGCTTATTGACTGGGAGCAAAAGAAAGAGTGCTGCTGATTCTGTTGTTACAAATATCACCGATTCTTGGATAGACCCTCAGGTTACTACAATCCCTACCGAAATGAGCGCTAATATTAGAACGGCATATGATGAAGCTTTATATAATGGAGAATTTGGACTTCTGTTGAATGTCGTTCCTTCTTCTATTCTTTTTGGTATGCATACAAATTTTAAACTGTATTCATCTTATGTGATATGGTCAAGACGTATTCCTACTGAAGATCCGTGGTATACGAAATCGTTCATCTATCAGCGAGATTCCTGGTTTGAGTCCTGTTATTTCTTTATCCTAGGGAACAGTCCTATTTGGAATTGTTGAAAAGAGTCAAAGAAATTTACCACCAATCGTAGTTGTGACAGTTGAGGTTAACAGGTAGAGAGTACAATCGGCATTTTAACAACTCCCTGTTTCGAAAGAGCAAGTATTCTACTGCCACTATTCGCTTTGTGAATAAGACAGACAGCCCGTTCTTGGATGCTCATAATATTTGCATGCATCCATCGTACGAGTGGAAAGTGTATCTCCCGTCAGGAACAATGAATTTTCACTATCCTGACGATCAAAGTATCCAACTGCACAATGCGAGGTGATTCCATAGGTTTCCGATGGACTCATGTTCTTCGTTCAGTGAACACAAAGCTTCCGAAGAACGTCAACTGGATAGAAAATGGCTGCTATTTCGTTTTTCAGCCCTGCGCAACGCGTCATATCGGCCATTTCGTTGAGTCGATCAATCACGCTTTGCTCAAACTGCGATATCCGTCTTTCTATCCTCCTCTCACTGACTTGTATATCCCCAAGTTTTTCAGTGATGAATTTGAATGGTCAAAGTCTTACTTGCAACTGGTTTTGAGCTTGTTTCCGGATAATCTCAAGCCCGCACTTCATTTAGGAAGCAGTTTCTCGGCATACCCGGCCGTTTGTTTCCGATCCGCTGTATCTTTGTGAATGAATACCAATCTAGGTGTTGGTGGATCGCGTGCGATTCCACATGGATGGAGCCTTGTTTGCTGGCTTTTTTCCGCTCGATCTAATGAAAGCAACGGCGTGGCGGCACGCCAACGTTCAATCCAGACAGAATGGACCGACTCATCTCTCTTTGCTTTTGGTGGATCGAAAGAAATCGCGAGGCTTCACACTGCACGATGCTTGGGTTGGCATTCTCTCTTCGCAGTTTAAGGCAAGTGAAGAAGCTCTTTTTGATGGGTAGGAAGTAGCAGTTTCTTACAAGTTTATGGAAGGATTATCGTTCCAGGAGCAACTGCAACTCTTCTATAACTCAGATATTGTGGTTTCTCCGCATAGCGCTAGTTTCATCAATCTCATTTTTACGGTTCCTCGCACGGCGGTCGTCGAGTGCTATCCGCCTTATTTCTATGAGAACTGGTATTCGAACACGGCGATGATCTCGCGTGTGCATTACATTGCGGTCTCGAGCTTTGTTCGTAATGGGAAAGCGATGAGTTCGTGGAGAGAAGCAGAGGAAGCCTACGAGAATGGAAGATTCTTTTTCATTCGAAGGAGGTTTGTGGACAATATGGTTAGTCCTCCTCGGTTCAAAATGCTTTCCGCTGTACGGGATGCAATTGAGTATTCGAAACGGTGGCGGTTTGTGTATGAGGCGAATGATAAGTGGTCTGCAGTCTTCATTTAGTGAGGGTATTACTTCGATTTTCTTTCTTTGTGATCTTTGTTGCAATAAGCCTTGTTATTTTGATATCTTCTTACCTAGTCCTCTATGTAACAAATATGTCCCATAAATTCTGGATTTCGTTGGAGTATCTACCACATTTTTCTCACTAAAAGCTGTATTTCTCTAGACATCTCCTTTTATTTATTTTACATAATTCTAAAAATGTACATAAGCATTCTGAATCGAAACCTCACATTCTCACACTTGACATTGTTCTCCACAAAAAAACACAACGATTATGACTACACATCGGGAAGCATGCTTACTCGATTTGATTTGTGCCCTAAATATCTCTCCTTAGTGAAATTGGTAGATACGCGTATTCGAAGTTCTTTATGTCCGGAATTATTTACAGTGAGCAATCGCAATCGAAACTCAGACTGATGAGTGAATTTGGCTCCATCTCACCAAATTCGTCCTACTTGTAGCCATTTCACAACAGCTACATACTCTTAATATCTTCACATCATCTCAAGCAATAAAAACAAAAAAGCTAATTCCCTTCATTCTTATTTACCTTTTTCTACTCTCACAAAAAGAAAATGCTTGTTTGCATGCGAATGCAAAATGAGGTCTAGTGGGTGAATTAGCTTATCTCTCTACTTCTCTTCATTTTTGTGAATGTCAGAATATGCCAAAAGTTCTTTACCCAGCAGAAAGGGCGTCCAGTGTGATTTCTTAACACGATTCGAACTATTACTGTGACACCTGATTATGAGCAGACTAACATGGTTATTTCCTTGAAGATTCAAAAGCTATTGATAATGAATCTTCATCGTTTGTTTGTAGTCAATAACCGCGGAAATAGCGACCATTGTTGAAGGGGCTGAAATATCATTAATGGTTGAATTCGGTCAATATCTACTCGCAAATATCGTTCCTGAGTGGAGGGATAAAGTATCATTTCTTCATCACTCTCATTCTAGTTTATTGACTATGAGGAATTAAAGAGAATCATCGAGAAAATAAAGCAGACTCGTAATTGAACGATATTGGTTTGACTATGTTTAGAAAACTCTACTCAGCCTTTATCTCCTAACGGATTTATTTCATTTTATGATGACACTGAAAGTCAGCAACATTTTCACAGGATTGACAGCTCTGATATTCTTGGAATGATCTCAGTTGATGGAGGGGATCTGGAAGAGCGGCTTTTGGGTTGCTATCTGGTGTTTGAAATAACGGGTAGAGAATAATAGTTACTACTCCACCTCAACATCTTCTGTAACAACAGATCTCGTTGTGGAACTGGTAGATCGAAACGTTGAAGCGAAATCTATGCGTAACGATTAGGATCGATGGGAAGATGAGATGGGTCGGGTCAATTTTCAATGTATCTTGCCAAAGAGTGATGTATTATAACTTGATTTTGAATCCTAATGAATAGGGAGCCATTGTTTATTACGAAGGTGAGTTCTTCAAGCTCATCCGGGATGGAATCGAAATGGTAAATGAATGGTATATAGCCAAACTCACTGATTGTCGCACCAAAGTAAACACGTACGAGAAGCAGGTGGAACGGTTCTGCGAGTTGCGAGCATCCAATGCTCTCTCTTCAATGGTCCAATCCCAAACGTATCGACAGCTCGAGTTCGGATTGAAGGAACTCTATCGAATGACCGGCTATTTAAAGAATTATTGCATGCTCAATAAGCAGGCGATCGACAAAATCTTAAAGAAGCACGACAAGAATAGTTATTTCGACAGTCGCGGAACGATCAACACGGCTTTGTCCAATCTGAGTTTCTGTAGACAGCGCAATCTTCCTGAGTTAATGGCACGTGTTGAGTCTCTGTGGAGGAAGTTTATTGAAGGCAATAAGAGTCGAACAATGAATGATCTGCGAGTCAATATTGAGCATAAATATCCAGCAACGAATGGATTTCTGATTGGGATGAATGTTTGACTGTTGAACCCCAAATCATCCATAGACTGGAGCATCCATTATTCTGTTCATTGCTATAATCCTAGCTTTGCTGCATGTAGTTTTGGTCGTTAGCTGTGATGCAATAGAAACCAATTCCTCTTCCTGATGAGCAGAGAAACTCATTGTGGTGTTTCTTCCGACTGCAAGTTTTTTTCGTGTTGCAGTTGTGGTGTTGGGGATTCGACATTTTGATTTTCCAAAAGTATAAAATCAATTATGAGTTTATATTCGGGAAATACAAGCCACAGTTGGTTCACACATTAGACCAATTTAAGATTGCTTCCTGTACTCTTTTTTGATCGTGATTCCTTATTGTAGTTTATACGCTGGCGATCTGCGCTCTGTTCTATCTGTGGTTCTATTGCTCTTTCACCGAAGTGATATTATCCAAACTCCAAATCTCACTAATCGGTCCCGCATCGTTCATCTTCTTATGCTTTTGTACTCTCCCAGTTCCAGGACAAGTGCCTTGCTTATTCTATCGATCATTAGTAGTATTTACCCTATCGGTGGTACATGTTTCGACATTGCGTAAAGCTTCTCTTCGTTCCGTTCTATTTTGTTCGCTTTCCGGATTTCTTTCTGGGAGATCAGTTCACTTCACATTCACAAACACTGGTGGACTTGCTTCATGTATTGGTCAGCCTCTTTACAGGCTCCTTCTTATACTTTCGAGATCCGTTTGCCAGTTACTCACCCACAACGCTCTCCGTGATTCAAATCTCCCTTTCGATTTTGCCTCAGTTCATTCGATTGGCGCAGAATCTCCGACGATACCATGACAGCAAGTACGCCTCATCGATTGAAGAGTGACTCGTAGGGAACTTTATCCAAGTATCTACAATGGTATCAAGTATCTCCTATCGATCATCGCCAACAGTCTGGTTCTTTTTAAACTTCCCTATTTCTGTGCTCAATTCATTTATACCATTTATGCTTTGTGTTGGGATTTACATGAAGACTGGGGTTGGCTTTTGGACTCTTTTTCATGTAGGCTTGCTTCGGATTCGGCAGGACAAGACATTATTGCGTGCAAAGTGTTTGATTCCTTATCCCGTTGCATACTATCTGGCGATTGTGAACAACACGATTTTACGGTTTGCGTGGATTCTCAAACTTTTCATTGTAATCGTTCGGTGAGTCGTTTGAACGGCTAGATGAACTCTGAGAATCAGAACAAGATGCTGCTGGTGTTTGGATGTATCGAGGTGATACGACGGAACATTTGGAATGTCTTTCGAATGGAAAACGAGCAGGTGAATAACTGTGGAAAGTTCAGGTAAGCGACGATTTGGTTTCTGTGATTATTAGAGCCGATCTGGATGTTCCTATTCCGTTCTCGGATTACTGACAGTATATTTACTACTTGATTATAGTTTGTTTGTTGTTGAATAAAATTGGGACTGTTCAAAGAATAATGTCCCTATATTATATTTTTATGTAGTAACCATATTATGGAGAATCCTTTTAATGAAAAAGCTGAAGTCTCCGAATCTGTAGCTCTTCGTGAAAAGAATAACCGCATAGACTATATATTCCACAAATATGAGTGTGGCCGCTCCGCGACATGGTAGAATGAAATGGATTGGTTTCAGCAGCAGAGCCATCGAATAGCGAGGGATCGAATTTGGTATCTAGAGAGATTGTGCGTCTTTTCTGCATTATTTTTATATAGTCATCCTCAATGGTTCATTCTGGAACGCCTGTCGTGGCGATCCCGCAGGAATCGCGTGTTGCGCTTCCCACACTTATGACTGTATCCGATTCTTGTCAACCTCTGACTATCAGAATAATCATGGTCAGGTTCCGAACCAAGAAAGCCTTGTTGAAGATCTAAACTCTATTTATACTCAAATTGATTCAAATGTTATTCTCCCTTATTCAGATCAGCATATGGAGGCGGATCCCTCGCGAATCGACGAAGGGGAGATGGACCTCGTACCATTCACCATGTTTCTTTTCCATTCAGGCCGACAGCCGAAAGCGAATGACGACTACGCTCGTGGGCAAGATCGTTGAAGTGCTTCGTCGTGATTGAATCAGATGCTGACCCCCAGAGCGATCCAAAACGCCGCTCAGCTTCGAAGAAATCCTCGCACAGATCGGCGACGGCTTCGACGAGCTCCGCAAAACCGACGGGACCAAGTACAAAGGCGACCGCACCAAGGCGTTGAACGGCGCGCTCTTCTCGACGGGGATCTTCCGCCACACGGGATCGAAGTGGACGCTGCGGCAAGACGAGTTGGTGCAGTACCAGCAGCGGTTCCAGCAGCGTGTGGAGACGCGAGGGCGGCGGCGGAAGCTGGCGGAGAATGGGGGCGAGCCGGCGCCGAAGCGGAAGTACACGCGGCGGCAGATCAAGCGGAGCACGGTGGTGAAGATGCTGAAAGCGGCGTCGGAGCGACTGCGGATGAGTTCGCGCGATCAGAACATGGTGATGTTCAAGAATCCCTTCCAGGTAGGAGTGAGAAAGGCGTAGGAGAGTAGGGATTGACGGGGAGCGAGGAGCTGCTGAAGCTGCGGAAGAAGCTGGGGGAGGAGAAGTTTGAGATGGCGATTCAGATGTATAACTATTTTGAGGACGTGCTGGGGAAGCTGGCGGTGGAGGGGGAGGGAGCGAGCGCGACGACGAACGACGAGCAGACGAACCACCTCATCGACCAGCTGCAGCAGGAAGTGTACGAGCTGCGAAGCCGATTGATGGTGCTGGAGAAGCTGAGCGGAGTGACGACGGATATTTCTCTGTGGCTTGTTTGTGGAACACAGGAGAGTGATGGTGGAGAAGGGTGCAGGGCAATGGTGTAAGAGATGAAGGTGAACGAGGTACCAGTGCGAATGAGCAAATGGATGGCAGGCGGTGTTCAAATAAGCAGCAGTGAATGAACCATCGCACAGCAATGAATAAGCCATTGCACAGCAGCGAATAAGCCATCGTACAGCAATGAATAAACCATGGCACAACCACTCCCCTCTTCCAAACGCTTATGCAACAAACAACGCACTATACATGCATCTATGACTACGTCTACTTCGTCACCTCGTGCATCGCCTTGGCCAGATACTCCACATTGCTGGGGTTGATCGCGGCCACCGAGGCGCGAGACGAGCCCAAAATGTACACGTGGAACTCCGTGCGCAGACGATCGATCTGCTCGGGGGTGAGTCCGGTGTAGGAGAACATTCCGCTCTGCTTGGTGATGTGCGACCAGTCGCGCGTGGAGCCGGCCTTCTTCAGGTTCTCCACCAGCAAGGCACGCATGTCCTTGATTCGCTGCGACATCGCGGCGCACTCCTTCTCCCACTGCGCCTTCAGCACAGGGTCGTTCAGGATCGTCGTGACGATGCGCGCTCCGTACAGCGGCGGGCACGACCACAGCGCGCGCGCGCCGATCTTCAGCTGCTCGATCGTGTTCTCGCGCTCCTTCGGGTTGGCGGTCACCACCGACACGATACCCGCACGCTCGCCGTACAGGCCGAAGTTCTTCGAGAACGACAGCGTCAGCGCCACGTTGTGGCCGTCCTCCACGAACTTGCGGAAGCCGTAGGCGTCGTTCGCCACGTTGCCCGAGCAGTAGCCCAGATAGGCCGCGTCGAACAGCACCACGTGGTTCTTCTTCTTGCACAGCGCGCTCAGCTCGTCCCACTGCTCGTGCGACGGGTCCACGCCGGTCGGGTTGTGCGCGCAGGCGTGGAACATGAAGCAGGAGTGGTCCGCAGCCTTGTTCACGTCGTCCAGCATGCCCTGGAAGTTCAGGGTGGGCGTCTTGCTGTCCAGGTAGGTGTAGTCACCGGTGGTCAGTCCAGCGTTGCGGAAAATGGTGTGCTGGTTGGTCCAGGTAGGGTTGGGGAACAGAACGTGGCCCGTAATATTGCAGTTCTTCAAGAACTGCGCGAGAAGACGAAGCGAGCCAGAGCCCGAGATTGCCTGGGCGTTGGCAATCACGTCCTTCTTCTCGTTGTAGATCTTGTCACCCCATGCGAACTTGCAAGCGGTGTTGTAGAAATCGGGAATACCGATCAAGGAAGGGTACTCGTGGTCCTGCGTGCAGCAGAGTCTCTTCTCGGCCTCACGGACGCAAGGAAGCACGTAGGGCTACCATTACATCCACACACAAATCCAAACCTTTCCATGCTCATCGCGGTAGGCACCCACTCCCAAAATGATCTTTCTGGGATCTTTATCAGCATCATACTGCTCCTGAAGGAAAAAGATGGGATCAGGCTTGGGACGCGTTACCTATCAATTAGATTCTAGATTTCGCTTCTGTACGCTAGCAAAAGGCGAGACGGAGAACGCTCTCACACAAGACAGTTTAGCAACGGGAGTAACTAGAAATAAGCAAGCATCAGAAACACAACGTACACTTTGACAGCATGACAAAATAATCCTTTCCAGAAAATAAATAATGACTTGGATTTTCTGTTTCCCTATTCCACGATTTACCACCTACCAATCATTTGCGAGAGAATTGGAACTCCTCAATCCGGGAACAATGCAGTATATGATAGGTTCTGTCAGAAAGTATGGATCATGGAGTATAGAAAAATCAACAATATATAGGCGCACGCAGGAACATTCTATGTCGATAGGAAAACAAGAGAAGTTCACAGTAACTACTATTATTATAGAGCCATACTGTAAATACCGAATGACAGAATAGTGTCCAGAGAATCAGAGAGATGGCGGTTGGGTCGCACGGTGTATTATTATTATTACCTGGTGAAAAGATGCATGAAGGGATGTACTCCTATTTGTGTCTTTGGCTCTTATTTGTTCGTTTTTTGACCCTCTTTGTTTTATTATGGTACACTTTAGAAACCTTGAATACCAACAATTTCGGATTGTTCACATATTTTTCAAATGCAGTGAGCCTGATTCTGCAGAATATAGTTGCCATTTTTCTTTACAATTCTATTGCTGTCTCGGTGATATCAGAATGATTGTTTGTATCGTTATTGATACATCTGGTCATATGAATCAGTTGACAGCTTCAAGGCAATCCATCATCACTGTAGCTAAGAATTCTGTATTTTATGAATGAACATGCTAACGTTCAAAGGCTATCACATTAGTTAATTTATGCCCCGATCAGTGTATGATTGCCTTGTTCACTGGAAAGATGCAGAGGAAGGTTAAACTCTATACCAAAGAGGAGGCAACCAAAGTATCCATCTATCCTTATCGTCCTATCTAGCTAATATTGAAGATTGAAGCAGTGGATGTTACAAATTACCCGAATTTGATAACCAATGCTGTAGAGACGATGAATGAGTTTCTGCAATCTGAAGAATGCGATACCTACGTATTTCTTTTTTTTTGTGAACTCACTTCTAGGGAAGAGGCCGTATTCGCCAGCTTTCTATTCCTGTACAATATGTTCTTTACGCATCGCCGCTTTCTTTAAAGTTCAAAGGACCCGAGCAAATCACCCATCTCTTTCGTTGGGATACCCGCTTCACAGCCTTCATCATCAATTCTCCCGTCTATTACCCCAGCAACGCCAACACGAACACGAACACCCCCCCTACCGCCACCCATCCGGATCTCAAAGACACCTTCCTGCACTACCTCTGCACCAGCACAAACAGCCAAGTGATCGAAGTGTCGCCCGCCTCCGTTCTCCAGCTGAGCATCCGGCAATTCCTCGTCCCCTCCCCCGACCCCGACTCCCTGGCGCGCCGCTTGCTCGCTCCCTTGTACCCCTCCATCCAAATCCAGCTGAACCCCTCGTTCGTCCAGCAGCAACGCATCGATTTCCTCGCGATCGTCGTTCCGCTCATAGACACTTCGCTCGATCCGAAGGCTTCGCGCAGCCAACTCCTCGATCAGTTCTACGCCAGTCCTCCCGAATCGCCTCTCTTTTATTGCTACCCCGAGCAGCGCGACAAGCAGAGCGTGTTCCCTGCGTTCCAGCTTCGCGGCGTGGCGTACAACGAGAAAGAATCCATGGAGAAAGCGCTCGCGGAGAGCAAGCTTCCGGTCGATTCGATCACAGTCGATCCGAATCAGGTCGTCGAATCCACCAGTCGAGTTCTGGACCTGCTCATGCGGGCGGTGAAGGAGATGAAGGAGAAGAAGGAAGTGCCGTTTTTGTTTGGCGAGGACGAGCACGTGTATGGAATGATTCAGCTCGTCGACCAGCATTCTGTGCAGATGCTCTTCTTTCCGCCCGACTTCCCGCTGCTTTTGAGTTTTATCAGGGGTAATCAGTTTGAGAAAATCGTGGCGTGGATTCAGACAATTCCGTTGCAGTACATACCGCCCATCTATGCATTTCTGACAAGAAAGAATATTCAGCTTCCTTTTCCGTGTCCTGCTCTTCCTCCGAGAAGGAAGAGATCCGATAAATTGTTTATATAGTACTTGCTGTTTGTTTGGACATAGAGTTTAATTTTGGAGATGGCCGAGCCACTCGAACTCTTGTTCTTTCGAGACTATCTCCTGCATCCCGATCTGGGGGTAAAATCAGAGGAGGCTCAAACGTTGAATCTCACCATTTCCAAGGGAGGGCAGCTATATCCGATGAAAAAGGAAGAAGAAGTAAGTATCCAGCCGTATGCAGTACTCCGTAGTATTCATTTGCCGAGAAGATCAACTTCTCGAAGAGTTTGGAGATGGAAGAACAATTCCGTGATTACTTAACGGGAGAAGTTCAGTATGACCCCACTACCAGTCGAACGCATTATCGAAGACGCAGCAAAAAGAAGGATAATCTGTTTTTCGATTCTCTAGATGATGGCTTCTATATCCTTATAATCCTTTCTTTTTACAGCTTTCTTCATTGTACTCGCAGATGATACGATATCTCTTTCCTCCTCGGAAATGGGGAGTCCGAACCAAAATAAATCATTCCTATACAGAAAAACAAAGCATGATCACAAGAATCGGTCAGAACGCTCAAATGCATCGATTGTTGCTCGGAAGCGATTATCTCAACCATTGGATACAAATGAGACAGAATCTTCCAAAGTGGAAACTGATTCCTTGCCAGAGTGTGATTTGGTGGATTATCATTGGAAAGGAAGTCGCAAACCACTGATTCTCAATTCATTTGTAATGGTTTGGAGAAACTTGCTGGATCGTGACTTTGTAACTTGGGATGATCGTACCGAGCAGTCGATTTATAAAGATGTTTGGATCTTCTTCGTTTCGTTTTGATTTGTAGCTCGAAAGTCGTCTCGAAAAGGAAGAAATAAAACGGATCGTAACATATATCAAACAAAGAATTCAGGATATTTTATTTTCTGTTTGTGAATGAAACCCTATCAAGACTCTTTAGACGATTCAGAAGACCGCTCCGTGGACTGGAAGTATACCGGGAGGTTTCTACAGTTTGGAGAATTGACATACAAACTGCCCTCTACCGGCGAGCTTTCTGTGGGCGAGATACGCTATAATAAGAGGTAGAAATACGAATGCGTGCGAAGAACCACGAAAAACCAGATGATCGACGGTTTTCCGCCATTTCTTTGTCTTAGGATTAGGAACCCTTATTTTGCCTATTGTGAGAGGATCTGTATACACAGAGCCACATATTCTACTTGTTCGTTGTTATCGACCTGCTCTCGAGTCCTATGTGTTGAGTTTACCTGCTGGTTTGCATGTACTCATATCGTTCTATTTGTAGGACTGGTTGACAAGGATGAAAACCCCGAGGACGCTGCACTTCGTGAATTGCAGGAGGAAACTGGATTTATTGGCAAGCTGTCGGAAGTATGTACTTCACTGAACGTTTTTCTGTAGTGCCAATTCGATATTCCGTACTACTCGGACCCTTGGAAAAGCAATGAACAGCAACGACTTTTCATTGTTGAAATCGACGTGGACGAAATGGCCAACAAGAGTCCCCATCAGCAACTGGAAGAAGATGAGAGCATCTCAACCGTAATTGTGCCCATTTCAAAGCTTAGCGAGTTCATCCGATGTAGAATCACTGGATTTCACTTATTCATAGCGGAGGAATCGAAGGGAATCATTGTTTCGACGTCAATTTTCTTTGTTGCCTCCATCATGTCGAACTCCTTTTCTCTGTAATCCTTGGCTATCAGCGCGTGTCATCACTTCTTCTGCTGCTTGTAATTAACCGAACTAATAATAATCATGCTGCGTTGCATGCTTGCTCCTGTTCTTGTTTGTTGCATCACATTGTTTGTGTGAGAGAATGCTTTCTCTCGTTCCTTACAGCGAATCTTCGGAGGACTCGTCGAGTGAATCGGAGCAGTTGAGTGACGAGGTCCAACACAATACAGAGGCATGGGTTGAAAGGAATGGATGATTGGTAGGAGAAAAAGGAGAAACAAGAGGAAACCAAATCGGCAGAAGCAAATCCAAAGAAACCTGTAATTCCGTCGTTTACAGATGCTTTTGAAAATACAGATAAACCAGAATATTTAATGACTCGTAAATCTGTAGAATCGTCGAGGCAAAGTGAGATCTAGGAGAAGGCAAGTGCAATCAAGTTTTTCAACAAGAATCCGCCTTCCAAAAGAATCGCGACTGGGAAGGAAGAGACGGTATACACAAATTTTCTCAAAATGAGAGACTAGCGCGAAGAGCAGTTGGAACGCGAGGCACGCGAACGCGAAGAAGCTGCGAAGAGACGTACAGAAGAGGAGATCAAGAACGAACAGGAGCGTCTCGAGCGTGTCCGAATGGAACGCAGTCTCTTTGACGATTTCTACAAAAGTGTGTGATGGGAGCGAATGAATCGACGTGTAGTGAAGCGGGAAGGTCACGAAAAGTTCAAGGAGAAGCTGAAGCGACAACGGCAGCGCGGCCAGTCTGGAATCGGCGAGAACTTCCGCGTGTGGCGCAGCGAGGAAGACATGATCCTCCGTCAGCAATACCAATGCAATGTTAGTTTGAACAAACACGGGAATCTACCTTAACACTTCCAAAGAGAGCGTTTACGAAGAGGAAGGAAGCAAAGAATCCCACACATCCGGTCAACAAGGAGAAAACCACAGACAAAATGAGCAGATAGCCCACGCTCTCGACGACCACGAGGACGTTATCAAGGTTGAACGCCACCACGAGATAGTAGACAGAGAACGCGAGCGCGTAGACACCGGACGACGCGGGCGCCAAGAAGCTCATCCACCACCAGTGGTAGTTCTCTGCGCAGAGCAGCGAGTAGGTCAGCACGATGCTGATCTCGCTCGTGGTCACCAGCAGGATCAGCAGCACGGCGAAGAGGAACCCGAAGAGATAGTACCCGTAGCCCATCCACACGGAGGACAGGAAGAAGTACAGCTCCACGAAGATCACGCCGAAGGGCACCAGGCCGCCCACCAGGATCAGCGGCAGCTTGCGGATGTACCAGGGCTGCGGCGGGATCTCGCGCGGGATCGCGCTGGTGGCGACGGGAGGCTCGTAGACGGGTCTGCGCAGCGCGCTGAGCGCGCCGAGGACGACGAGAGGGAAGGAGAGACAGAGCCAGATGGCGACGAGCTTGAGGATGGAGAGGAAGGAGACGGCGGTGGTGGAGTGGTAGGCGGCGGAGAGCGCGTTCTGCAGCCCGTAGATGCCGAAGACGACGGTGGGGAGGAGCGTGCCGGCGAGGAGGATGGCGCGCTTGAAGTGGACGCCGCCCCAGCTGCGGTAGAAGAAGAGGGAGACGCGGCCGTTGAGGAAGCTCATGAGCACGTAGAGCGCGAGGAGGAGGTTGAGCGCGACGCCGCGGTTCTCGGGAGTGACCATGCCCGCGAGCGCGAGCAGCACGCTGCCGAGCGCCATGCCGAGCAGCTGCGCGCCGCTGCCGAGCAGCACGGCGAGGAGGAGCGTGCCGTGCTCGGGAGGGCGGAAGCAGTCGGCGTGGACCATCTTCCAGCCGCTGTCCTCGATGTCCAGGTCCTCGCTCTCGTCGGTGGGCAGCTGGCCGTGAGGACGGCAAAAGAAGGCCTACGCGGTTGTAGCGAGCGAAGTCCTGGAAGACGGTGCGGACGACGATGAACGCGACCATGCCGCTGAGGAAGAGCAGCACCAGCAGCGAGTTCAGAATGCTGAACCAGTGGATGCGACGCGTCTCTTCGATGAACTGGCTGTTGCTGTACCGGTCGAAGCGGTGCGACCACTCGGTGGTCGACGGCAGCCACTGCACCGAATAGCTGAAGATCACGTGCACTTCCTGCGTGTTAGACGAGTAACAAAAGAGCTGTACGCCGTGGGGACCGGGCTGCGCGCCCTTGCCCTGGATGCTCATCGACGGGATCTTTTCTTGCTGGCAGGCGGAGGGAACTTCGTTCAGCGAGGAGTAGCGAATGCTCCGCGGAGCGATCTCGAAGCCGACTATGCTGCTGAGCTCCGCGGATTCGTCGTTGTAGAAGATCTTGAAGTCAAGGTGGTTGTTGAGCGCGTAGCCCATCGAAGTGTTGTTCCCGTACTGAACGAGAATGCCTCCCACGGGATAGCCGTGCTCGTAGTACACGGAACCGTCGGTAGTGCGGATGTTCATGATACCGGGGAGGTTATCCACCAGGATCTCCGCCAGATACTCATTATCAATAAACTCGATGAATTTCTTGACCTGCTTCTCATCGTAGTCCATTTCGCCAATGGCCACACCTACCATTCATTTAAAATACATAACCGTCCACATGTAGAGTTTTCCTTAAAACGTACATCATACAAGGAATTCTCGATATGGTTCGCCATGATCAGCTCGCCCAGTGAAGATGCCTTGTGCATCGTTTCCTTTGGCTACCGAAATTACGAACAGAACAAACACGCCATACCTTGGGAAACGGCAAGTAGTAGTACTCGTACGGAATGTGGGTCTTCGAAGAAGAGAGTCCGTTGACCTTTAGGTTGATTAAATCACCAACCTTGAAAGAGTTCTTCTGGCTTGAAAAAAGACCAGCACTAGCGATCGAGCACAGAAACAACGCAACGAGAACTTTGAAGAGCATTGAATTCCTGTAAAATATGTGAAAATGCCAGCCAAACCGTTTGTTTCTGAAACGTGTGAAATTCTCTCCGTGATTTATCTTTCGGTCAGTCTATCGATCCCTAATCTTAGAAGGAGCTTTCCTTAGGTAATGCATAACCAATCTAGACTGAATCGAATCGTGAGCAGTAATAGATGTCTGCATCTCAAAAATAAAGGGAGTGTTTTAATGTGGGCGCTTTAGCAAAAAAAGTGTCATCTTCCAGTGAACTGGTTGAAGCTTGCGCTGATGTTCCCATACTCTTATTTAGCAATCCGCGGATCCATCACACTCGCTGTACAATCGATTCTTCTGGAACGTTCGAGGGCGTTCTAAACATACCCAATAATATCTTTTTAAAAAATAACGGGAACTATGTCCGATGATATAAGCGAAGAACAGTTACCAATGAGTAAGGAAGATTATGACAAGGCGATTGCGCAAATCGAAAAGGTGAACCAATCTGTCTCAAAGTATGAGTGGACGATGGAACGTCTCCAAGCAAAGAGAGAAAAGCTATTGATGCAGGCTGTCATTGCCTATTGGAAATCAATTGCTTTGAAAGACGATTTCTTATATTCTATCCGCCTTAACTACAGCACCTATGAGTATGACTGTGGTATGTTGAATGAAAATCTAACACGGGAATTACTGAACCTGGATGGTATTATGAGCAACGGAAATGATGACATCCGTGCACGCCGTAAAGATCAAGTCAAGAGAGTGCTTTTCCTGCAAGAGGCTGTCACTAAGCTTCATGAAAAGGCTGTCGCACTTTCTGTATTTTACCGTTCTTGTGTAGCACAGCCGCGCTACCAGGCTCTTCTTGCCCAGCCTTCACCTCAACCTGAAGTGGAGCTTCCCACTTCTCCCGTGCCTGCTTCCGATGTGGAACAGGAAGCCGATGAGCCGCGTCCGACCGTTCAGAAGCAGCCATCTCTTCAGCGCCAGAAGTCGGTCCATTTGATCCCGGTGATGTCTCCTGAAGAGTTCGACAAGCTGCAGAAACAGAACTCGATGGGGAGTCGAGGCGTTTCGAGCGAAGTATCGAACGCGAGCAGCTCCGCAGCGGCACGTCGAAAGCACAACCGCGAGAAAAAGCAGCGAAAACTGCAAAGACAACGAGAACGAAGACGAGAAGAGCAGGAGCAACAGGAGCAACAGGAGCGAGAAGAAGAGCAAAGAAGAAAAATGGAAGAGGAAGAAAGAGAGCAGCGAGAGAAAGAGGAGGAAGAGCGAAGAAGAAAAATGGAAGAGGAGGAAGAGGAGAAGAGAAAGCTGAAAGAACAACAAGAAAAAGAAGAAGAAGAGAGGAAGAAGAAGGAAATGGAAATGCAGCATCAACGCGAATTGGAAGAAGAAGAAGAAGAGAGAAAGAGACAACAAAAACTCGCGGAGGAAGAGAGAAAGAAGCGTGAATTGGAGGAAGAAGAGAGAAAGAAGCGTGAATTGGAGGAGGAAGAAGAGCGTAAAAAACGCGAGCAGAAGCGAATTGAAGCGCGACGCAGAGCCGAAGAGAAGCGAAAAGCGACCGAAGAGGCGCGTTTGCAAGCCGAAGAGGCGCGACACAAGGCCGAAGAAGCGGCGAAACGAGCCGAAGAAGCGGCGAAGCAGGCGGAAGAAGCGCGTCGGAAAGCGGAGGAAGCGGAAGCGATGGAAGTGGAATCGAGCGAAAGCGAATCTTCATCGATGGAAGAAGAAGAAGAAGCGACGCCGGAAGTGGACGAAGTGGACGAGATTCAAGGCGATTACATGCCGAAATATCAATGGCTTCGTCAGGGCAACAAGCTGAATTTGATCTTGGTAAACGTGGATTTCGACAAATCTTCGCTTCACTGCGTCACCAAACCCGCATCGCCGACGCCCAAACTCATCATTCAGGGCTATCGAATCGTGCAGGAGACGCGGCCGCAGGGCTATTACGGTGTGCTCTACGGCATGAGACCGTCGTTTAAATACGTGCCGTTCACGACGGTGATTCAATTGCCGGATATCAAAGTGGATTTGTCGCAGGCGCCGAAAGTGCTGTACTATGACGATGAAAGCGTGATGCAGGTGACGTATACCATCAAGCAGGAAGAGACGAAGCGAGCGCCGTCTCGACCGCAGAGACGATGGGATGCCGAGGATGACGGGTATGGAAGATATTACCCGCGATACTCTGGCTATTCGCGAAGTCCGTTCGATGCGTACGAAGATCCGTATCGAAGGTCGACCCCGATGTCGTTCTCTCCGTTCTTTGGAGGTAATTTCTGGTAAGACAGAAAGAAGAGTTGAGTTGTTGTTTTATGGAAGTGTTTGTGACAAACAGAAGAAGACTGATGATAGGGCGTGAGAGAAATAACATGGCTGCTTTTCTTTACAGCGTGTTTTATGAAGCGCTTTCCCTTGGGTTGCAGAATGGGAGACTCGGGACTTCCCTCCATGTCAAGCAATTTTATCGTGTTGGACGACCTTCCCGCCTCGCTGGACTGCGAGGATTCGCGAGGCGCGGAGGCGAAGGGACGCTGTTCTGTGGAGGAGGGCGAAGGCGAAGCGAATGTGGATTTCTTTTTCGTAAGTGTAATATTGTCGTTCATATTGTTATGAGTATTGGTATCGTTTTGGTTCACTGAAGTGCTTGCTGATGGGAAATCGGCAACTGGTTTCAGCGAAGGCTGCGAGAAGGGAGTGTGCGTTTCGACATGGGTTTGGCTCGAGAACTGGCTGGTTGAGTCTGTTTTGGATTGAGATACCTGGCTCTCGCGGAGTTTTTCCTCTTCGATTTCCATCTCCATTCGATCCACTTCGTCCATCAAATCCATTTCCTCCTTCGCATCCAACGCATCCAATTTGTGCAATTCGCTTTCTTCACGTCTCTCCATTGTCCGCTTCGATTGATGCACGTACTGCGATTCGACGGCCATTTGCGACCCCGAATCCAAAGCATTGAAGAAGTCCTCCACGTCCTCTTCGCTCTTTACTGGTCCTGGCCGTTTGACGGCGATCGAAATGGCTGGAGCAGAAGCCATCGATGCAGCACCCGAAACAAGGGAGGAATTCGTGGTTGATTTGGAGGATCGTTGAGAGGAATGAAAGAGAGATTCGTGCTGAATCGCTTCACGGTTCGAATGGTGAAATGATTCACGATGTGAATTATGAGATTGATTCATTGCTTCATAATTCATTTCGTGAGTCATTTCATGATTCAATTGTTGATTCAATTGTTGATTCATTCCATCATTCAATTGTTGATTCATTCCATCATTCAATTGTTGATTCATTCCATCATTCATTCCACTCTCCCCATTTTCATTCACTTGTTCCACTCCTTCCAAACTCCTCGTCGATTTCTCTGAATCCATTTCCATCGCTCCCTTCATTTCCTTCATCGCTTTTTCCCTTTCCTTCTCTCTCTTCTTTCGACTCATCTCCACAATCCGCTCAAACTCCATCGGATGCAGCACGCACTTCATCACTTCCTGCTCTTCCAGCGGCATCCACCCCTTCTGCACCCATTCCAGCACGTCTTCAGCCAGCGATCGGCTCATCATCACCGTCTGCGTGTCCGTCAAAACCGACTCCGACGAGTTCTCCACCTCCTTAAAAACCACGAAAAACGAATCGGAAGACGCCGGAAAACTCGCTTCTTCGAGATGAACGGCGCCTTGAGCGGACCGAACGATTTCGATGTAGGGACTGGACGTGGAAAGGAAATGAAAAGTGAAAGAATGGAAGAGAGACGCGCGTTTGGGAAGGGGCGATGTGTCGATAGGGAAGGTGGATTGTTTGGGAGCGAAATGAAGAGGATTTGGAAGAAGAAGAAGCAGACAAGTAGAAGAAGATGAGTTCGAGATAGGAAGGAGCGCATCGATGAAGGTCGGAGTGACGATAAACGCGCAGTCGATGAGGGCTTGGAGTAGTTTGCCAGTGACTAGTGTAAATGTCGAAACGTTTGTGTACTTTCGAAAGCGTCCTCGACGATCAAGTACTGAACTTCCTTTGGTTGATAGGATTTGAGATAATGGGCTCCTAAAAAAATAAGGAACAAACAAAATGAGGAAATACCGAGCTGCTTGCACTTCGCTTGGAGTGTCTTACGTTGCGGCGCAGGAACACGTGAAAAGCAGATTACAAACGGCTCCCATGATATTCTGCTCGTTACAACACACAATGAACAAGAAACGTACTGAAAACTATACGAACTCGTAAGAGAGAGAACCCCGCACTCGTCCGCTTTCGTAAGAGTGATTGATTTAAATGCTACAATCAATGAAATTCAAAAAGCACTAACGGATTTGATTCCATTTCGACCCATGCTTTGTATTCATGTCTTGAATGCTTAACTTCATTACTGAGGACGGCTCGGATGCGTCATAATGATTGTCGACTTCCAGACAGATATGCTGGCGGGAAATCGCGCTTTGGGAGATACGGATTGTCGACGCTATTTGATAACCCAAAACAAACATTTCAAACAGGAACCACGCCCAATCGTCCATTTCCCGCAAAAGAGCATATACTTCTTTTCTACCCGCTAGAACCCATTCTCCATTACTACGAGAGCTCAAATCCTCCAAAATCCACATCCCCAAAAAAGTCTGTGAACAAACACTCCACACATCACGGTTACAGGTCATCTACCGTCCAGGTCGACAGCGGCACCACCTCCTTCTGCGCCCGGGTCATCTTCGCCCACTTCTGATAATCCCCCAAATCCACGGTCACGAACGGGACGTTGGTGCGATGTCTTGCGAGATAGCCATAAGTAGACCGCGTCGTCAACACCATCGTGTCCGCCAGACTCAGCAGATAATTCTCCAAGAGCGCACACGTGAACCCCGGATCAGCCTTCTTCTGCCTTCCTTTATTCGTATGCTTCATTTCACACTGCGTAAACGCCACCATCTCCCCGAACTCCTCCTTCCACGCGTCCTTCTGCGCGTCCTGATCCGACACCACATACCACAGCACCGGTAGCTTCGCCTTCATTTTCACCTCAATGCGATCGCGTTCGTTCGGATCCGCGCGTCGCAGATTCATTCCCTGCGCCGCTCCGTTCTGGAACGAGTTCGTGAGCGACGACGCGTACGCCTTGAACACAGCCACGTCTTTTTCGTTCAAAAAGCGGCCCCAGCGCGTGCCTTCATGGCCCATTCCGCCGGTTCGGACGTGGATCCCGATCACATAATGGCTCTCCCACTGCACGCGCGCTTGGAACGAAGCGATCTGCGCCTGCACCCAGGGCCGAGGCGTCATGGCCTCGCGGTAGAGGAAGCGGAGCACGTGATGGACCATTTCCTGCGGGGCTACGAGCGTTTTGGCCATGATTCCGCGATCGGTGATCCAGGATTTATCGCTGCGCTCTTTGATGAGCTGCTGCACGGTGAGGCAGGTCGACCGCATGACGATGAACTTCGCATCGACCTTGCCGTGACACGCGTCGACCGGGCTAAACGGACATTGGTTGGTCTTTTCGACGATTAACGTGTCGGGGTCGCGCTCCCAGACTACAGAAAAGAAGGGCGGTGCGCGTACCTTTCTCGGTGATCACCTCGAATTGGAACGGCAGGTAGAAGTAGCTACGCAGCGTGTCCCAGTCGTACACTAAAAACTTGCGGTTGGAGCGCATCGCGATCAGCATTACTTCCGCGAAGACCGCGAGATTGTTCCCGATCCCCGCGAATATCGGCCAGAAGACGATGTATTTGCTGTTGGGGTCGCTGAGATCGAAGTTGTTCTGGTGGTCTGCGAATTCTAAGAGAAGGTTGCGACGCTTCAGCCAGAGTCGCTTGGCTCGCGTTGAGTTTGTGGCGGGCGGAGGGATCGCTTGCTCCCAGCCCTCGTTGGATTCGCTGCAGTCGAAATCGGTTAAGCGAAAAAGACTCGATTTCGAAACGCTTTCGGCGAGAGGCGTGTTCTGGCAGTTGGAAGATTCGGTTTCGGGGAGGGATTGATCGGAGGAGGAGGAGGAGGACTGCATTTGCTGGCTCATGGAGTCGAGAACCGCGTCGAACTCGTCGTGGCCTGATGCAGAGGAAGAAATGGAACGATCAGGCTGCGAGTTGGATGCGTTGGATCCAGAAAAGTCCGAGTTCGAATCCGAGTCTGAGTCCGAGGCGGAATCGATATCGTTCAGACTGTTCATTGCGTTCTCGTTGACATCGTTGAGATCGTTGTCTCCGAGATCTGGATTGCTCATACTTGGCTCGTTTGCACCGCATACATTATTTATACAGTTGACACTTTCTGCACCGCCTGCACTGCCTGCACCGCCTGCACTATTTACACCGCTTACACCAGTCACGGAATATACACCACGAACAGAATCCATAGAACCAGCCAACCCTACGGAGTGTTGGCTATTGAGTACACTCATAGATTCTGGCAGTTTTCCAAGTTCCACAGAGTTTTTCACATTTACAGGAGACTGGACTGCTGTGAGCACCGAATTATCTTTCCCATCCTTACGAAGAAAAAATGACGGGGATGATGTAGGAATTGACTGAAGAGATGACATTACAGAAGAAAGAATCGGTTTTATCCTGTCATCTCGATAGAACGAATTCCCATTGGTTCCAGAAATCATGTCCGAAGACAAATACTTCCAATTCAAACTGATTACAACTACAAGCATTACCAACATACAAAACAACGGTAATGCTAAGATCTTGACAAGTCCTCTTCCTGGACGCACTTTCCCACCTGACATCGTTGTGAAAAAACAATATTATGTATATGGCCGACTTCATTCCTCAAACAAACTACCAACAACCTCTTTTCAACAAACAAATACACAATCATACAAGTCTCTCTACCTGTGATTACTGATTCTTGCAATCACTCTTGCATCTAGCACAGCTGGCACAGTTAATAATAATTACAAAGATCGTAACAATGAGAATAACGATCGTGGCAGCCAAGCAGTACTTTTCGAGCTGCTCGAAGATGAACTCTCTGCAATCTGGACCCTTAGGATCAGCTGTGCAAGTTTCTCCAGTCTCTTCAAGACCCGTGTATCCGCAGCACTTCAGAGCATTCTGCATATTCTTCCAACTCTCCGCGTTGGCCTCATTAGTAACATAGCTCATTGTGAAATTGTCAACCTTGTCGATAATGGAGGAGTTTCCGCTCTCCTTCAGCTTCATGCCGACAGTGACCACAATAATGGCAACCGTAGCAACCACACAGATAATGCTCAGGATAGTAATCAGAATACTGTACAAATAAAGAAGGCAGCCTCCATACGAAGCGCAAATTCCAATAATACCGAACACCACCAACAATCCTCCAATCAGGTAACCAACTCCCATTAAAACACTCAGACTGCTGAGCACTGGGGGGATATTATCAACCTTGTTGAGATATACGGTAAAACCAAGAACGACAAGTCCCAAAACGATCAGGACACCGTTCATAAAGTTCATGCATGCTTTTCCTTCAGCTTTATCTTTGGACATTCTTTATATAACTATAATTTAAAAAAATTATATATGTTTTGAGTCGTAAATCCGTTTCACGGCGGAATATGAGTAGTATTGAAATCCCCTAAATAAATATTCGGCTGGCACAGTCGAGTATTGTTATGAAGTAATTCGAAGTATACGTTTCATCTACTCTTGTTGCACTTCGTTTTGAGATTTAGGCAATTATGACACCGCAACGAAGAGATCTGAAACATGTTTTTGAAAGACTTTGTTGTCATCTTCGTGTTTGCTCAAAGCATCGATACCAGTAGCATAACGCTATAGAAGGACGTATGAAGCATATAAAGCTAGTATACTTTATTTCACCAAGCTCATTCTTTTTTATGATTCATATCCGATCGCTGGTCCAACAGCACGTTGATACTGCCACAGACATCTATAATACGAAATACAGCGAAAGTCGATGGAAACACGGTTAAGACACATTGACCTCGATTACTTACAGATATTCTAGATTTTGATGAAAACTGCGGAGTCGAGATAGAATTGCCAGATTGTAACGATATGTCTTGCGTTTTTTTAAAAGTGACTCCCCAAGAGGGGTATTATTCAAATCAGGAGTAAGGCAATTGTTATTAAAGTCTATATGTGAAGGTTTACTTTCGAACTTTCTCGAAGTGATTACTATCCATATACACCTCCAAAATGCCGTTTAGTGACAGAAGTGAGCTCTAGTTTATTCGAGTGAGTGTTGACAGATATTCCATCCTAACATTGACCAGGAGGGTCACGTATGTTTGAATATTCTGCGTGAAGACTGGTCTCCAGCCATCGATTTTACACAGATCGCATGTTCTCTTCAATACCTACTCCAACAACCCAATGTGGAAGACCCGCTGAATGAGGGTATGTATATTTGATGAAGACCGCCTCTATTTGTAGAAGCTGCTCTCGCTTTTAAGAGTGATCCGGAGAAATACCAAATGGTCGTTTTTCGTTTTTGTTATCAAACATCCGATTCATATTATTAATAATAGTAATGAAAGCGAGACATTCTCACAGCGGTACAACACGAAAGGGAGAGAAAAAGAATTGCCATTAGCAAAGAAACAACCTCCCAGATGATTAGAGAGATTTGCTTATCGGCAGGAATAACAACTGTACAATCAGGTTCCTGGCAGGTCGGATTCAGTTGCATGGTACCGTTCCATCCACAGCACCCTATTACCTCTTGGATGTCGTCCCAGTGAGGTTGCACAAACGTTGAGTTAATCATTCTACCAAACTTATCGATAATATAATTCGTATTTAAGAGAGAGTTGAAATTCTAGTCATAAGGCAGCAGCAAAACAAATACGATGAGTAATACAATACAAAGAAAAATGAAGCCAATGCAACAGATTACGCACAACACGAAATAAAAGTAGACCCAGCATCCCTTGCAAAGAGCTCCAAAGCCAAGAATGGCCATGATCGAAAGAAACAGAGCGAACAAAAAACTAACGATATAAACAAATCGCAACTCAGGGAGGCTCTGCTTCTGTAGGGCAATTAACACAAATGTAATGATGACCAAGGAAAGTACAAGAAGTATAATATTCGTTGTCATAAGGCAGCAGTGACCTTTCTTCTTGTCATGAGAGGTTCCCATACTCAAAGACGATAACTACAAAAAAAACATGCTAAAATAACACACAGTGTTTAACAAACAATTCAAATATATACTCTCTGAAAATAGGGTTGAGTTAGCGTAGGACGGCAACTCTTGGGAGTTGGAGACACTCTTTCACACACTCTTTGCTCCTCCAGCAAATCAGCAACCATGAGGAGTGGAACGTGATCCGATGGACAGGAATCGTTAGGGAGGGCCTTCACGCCTCTCATTTGCTGGTTCTTAGGCAAGTCGAGCACACTCCGCAGTTCTACATGTGCAGGGTCATAGAAAATATAGTCGATGCAGCCGATGAATTTATAAGTGTAGTTCGTGAACAACGGCTCATCATGACAGTAATAGTCATCGTATGCGCTTCGTAGCTGAATGTACGGGTTTCTACCCTTAACAAGCACAAAAAAACACACAGGAATCGGAAATAATTGTACACCTTGGAATGCGGTTTCGAATTGGAGTCCATCGTCACAAAGAGCGGCAAATCCCCGTATTTCTCGCGCACAGCCCGAATCGCACTCATCAGCATCATCGCCTGGAAGAGCTTCACCTGGGGCAGCTGGGGGTCCCAATGAATGTGCGACGTGGCGACGATCAATCGCTTTCCCGCTACAACTCAGCGCGAATCGCAGCGCAAACTCTCGCGATGGCGGAAAATCCCGATCAGCGCCGATTTGTTCTGGCACAAATAGTTCGTTTTCTCTTCGAACTTGCGTGGCGACGGGATTTCGACGTCCTGGACGATCTGCGCGCGCTGCTTCAGCGCTTCGTCGGGTTCGAAGACGTCGTTGAATTGATCGCTCAGCTTCCCGATCAGGTCTTTCGCCAGTTTGTCGTTTTCTTTCATCAGTTCGTTGTACGACACCTCGAAGCTGCGCTCGCACGTGTAGGCGTCGCTGTAAATGATGCAGAGCCCGTCTCTCCGAGGCGCGCGGCGTCCGTAGAGGAATTTGTAGCCGCAGAGAGTGAGCTTCGCTCGCCAGAACTGCGAGAACTTGTCGACTTCTTGGAGACAGGCGAAGTGGGGATGCATTTTCACGAGCCTGGTGAGGGTTAAAGCGTGGCGATGCTTGTCGCGCGAGAAGGGAGAGGCTCCCTCTTCGGCGGCATTGCGTAGTGCGAAGCAAATTGCGAGAATGTTCCAGTCGACAATGGAGAATTGCAGAGTATTGAGAGAGTAAATGATCGCTGGTTCGAGTTCGTCTAGATTGGTGGTCAGCTCTAAAATGCGATTTCGATTTTCGAGGAAGGTTGATTTGGGGGCTAATACATAAAGACACGTTGTGCTGTATTGGAAAGAACGTTTCTGCGCGTGAGAACGAAATGCGAACAATACGGCGAATGTGGAGAACGCGTTGATCACAGCGGATTGCTGTGCTTTCGGGCAGCTGAGGTAAACCCAGCAGTCTCGCTCGCTTAACTCGGCGGTAAAGGCAAGGAATTTCTGAAAAGTGGGCTCAATCACGTCGAGATTGGGCACGTAGTTGGAGAAAGAGGGAATGAGGATCGTGGCCGTCAATCGCGGAGCTTGACGGAACATGGAAATGAAAGGTTCGAAAAAGTCCTATGGAATGAATCGAAAGAAAGAAGCGTGGATTACCGATTCAATGGATGGAGAAGTTGGGCAAATGAACAAATAGGATCCTTGCATGATGGAGAAGCGCTTTCGGAGCTGCGAATAAAAAGCAGGCTCTTGAATCACGCGCCATCGACTCTGATCCACCGAATGAACAAACACATTTAACAAATAAGGATTGGTCAATGACTTATTCACGATCAAAGCATCGCTGTCTACGATCGGTTTGTTTTCATCGCTCGCGAGAAACTCTGGATCGAGATCCCACGCCTCCAGATCCGCTTTCGTTACAAGGACAATCACATTTCCTTTTCCCATCTTCTTCAGGTTGTTCTTCTTATTCTTGTAGCTCTTCTTTTTATCATCCAAAAGATACTTCATGCAGTCATTTTCCAAAAAGACGGAATGCCTGGTTGTGAAAATGATTCGATTCCCATTTAAAACAGAGAAGGGGTGCTACAAAACAATAACAACAAAGGAAACAAAGGGGTACAGTGTATTCCAAAATTGCTGGGAACGAACTTCTTTGCAGGACCCGACAGTAACTCTGAAATACCCGTTGGAATAATCGACAACAGTGGTCAAAGGAACTTTGTTGTTGCGTAAAGTTGTAGACTTCTCGAGAGAGACAAACGGTATTGAAACAAATCTCTGACAGATCTGCTTTCACTTTGTTTTTGCAGTGGTCTATAGCATCTGGAAGACCAATCAGAGAATAGTAATTTTGGTTGCGAATAAGAGCAGCAGGAGGTGCACAACTAGGAAAACAGTGCAGTTCCTAGAACCTAAGCAACATGCAAACAAAAAGCAAACATCCTCCGACAACAAATCCAGATACTGTCTTCCTAAATCAGCCAAAGGATAGTTAGTCTGAAGAAGCTTGTTTAGTATATCCAAAACACTGTTCAAAGCGCCGGATAAACCATCTATATACGTAATATACTCCATATGGAGTTTCCATTTCTCTCCGTCTTGATACACAGAAACTCCAGGGAAATCGCTCTTAAACGCATTGACGTACAGATACTGCCTGTAGGTAATCTCTGGATCCTCTGTACTCTCCACAATTTTCAACTCTTTCTTTAAGCGGTTTTCCAAATCAATCTCGCTGGGGAGAAGATGATAATTCTCCATCTTCAAACGACCGCCCGTCAAAGATACAAAGATAAAGGTAATGTGCCAAAGCTCCTCCAAAACTTGATTCCAACGAACAAACAAATGAACAAACAACACACTAAACGTACGCTTAGTCCTCAACACGCACTCCCACCAGTTTCTGGTACAGACCCATGAATCGCAATTCCTTTCGCCACTTGAACTTCTTCACCAGCTCCGGATCTCCCAGCTCGGTAATCTGGTGATGCCACACGGGGAACGCCAGCGGCTCCAGCAGCCAATACACAATGGGCATCATGTATCTCCACGGACTATCCATAAACACGCCATATCGCTTCTACCTGTACCAAGCAGGCTTGTGGTACTCAATGAAGATGGCCTTTCCGCCCACGGGCACGGACATCATGATTCGATTGATCACCTTGTACTTCGTGTCATCAGGGACTTCGTGCAGCAGAAGGAACGACAGTCTACGCGTTAGATCGTGAGTGTGGATGTCTGTACGCAGCGTCGTAGGCTTTGTCTTCCTCGGGATGGTGCGTGGCGGCATCTTCCAAGATGCAACCTCCGTTGCAAGGATACTGCGACATTTTGCGGTTGCACGACGCCACCTGGATCGGCATGATATCGCAGCAGTTGTAGGTACCCGTGGGACCGAGTTTCTTCGACACCGTGGCAACGAGCTTGCCGTAGGTGCTACCGCATTGCAAAAGCTTCTGGCCGGGCTTCAGCTCCTCGCAAACCATGTTGGCCAGAGGTTGGAAGTAACCAAACAGAATGGCTTGGACGACCAACTGGCGGTCCAGCATCTTCACGTTCTTGGGCTTCACATAGCACCAAGTATAGATCTTCTCCATGTAATCGGGGACACGGTAATCCTCGGGCACAGGACGCTGCTCCTTGGTGTACACCACGGGCGCAATCTGCTGCATCGCTAGACATCAAAATGCGCAAACTGTAGCAAACCGGGAGTAGTTCTTCTCAACATCGTTTTCAGCCCATTGACTGCCAGCGGGGCTGTCTTCTGTGAAAGGGAGCGGAGCACAAACATTGAATCTAGCCAAATAGAAAGTCCTGATGAATGTCGCTATTCCCGCGGGTGGAAATTGCCACCCAAAAATGTCTGATCGTACGACTCAAGAAACGGAGGACGGAGAGGGAAGAGAACCCCTGTATGATCCAGATTATGACTACTATTCGATTGACAACATTCTCGAGGAAGATGTACTTTTGAAGGTGAAGACAGTGGTGCCTATTCCCCATGCAAAGCAATTCCGTGAATGCAAGGAGGATGGAGTTATTCCCGCCAACACCGAGTTGGAGCTTCCGGGTTGGTTGGTCCTTCCATTGATTCGCGACGGGACACTGGAGCTCGTGGAGCCCAAGGAGTTTTCATCCAAGTTTTTGTAGATCGAGTGCTTCGTGGTTAATAATAGATCTCAAGTTTGGGCTGAGCCGACTGCCGTGAATATTCGTAGCAAGTGTCCAGTGTTTTATTCTCTGGGAATGAAAGTGGCTCAGCTTACGCATAATCCATCGTTGTTACTGCTATTATTGCGATCGTTTCTCGATCGATCTCAACTTATTTCAAAGACAGCGCAAAGCCGATATGACCAGGATAATTCGTCGTTTCTTCTTCAATTAACAAAGTAATTTTGTAATGTGATGCCATGTAAAAGCTAGTTCTGAGCAGATATTCTATCGTTCTGTAGTGAAGGATGTAATGGATGAGAATGAGTGGCGAATGAAGAGTTGTCAAGAGAACAGCTACGTGTCTCTTGACTTTGTGTCAAAGCGACCACATGTAACATAGCAAAGTCAGTTTTGGCTCTAAACCAAGTTGATGTTTGTTGAACACGCATGGTTTTGAATGGAGTAATGAGTGGATTTTGATTTGTAGTGGTGTCAGAGTGAGAGAGAGAGGAAGATAGAAATAGGAGGTGAATCAAGGGAAACAGAATGTTGCTATTTGGACAGCTAACGAGCAGATGAATCGAAAAAAAATAGGAAATAAGCTGAAATGGAGAATGGAAAGACCTATCCATGAAGGTGTAGCATGTAAAGTCGAGAACCAGCCATGTTTCGCTTCCCTATTGACTCATCATTCATTTGTCTATCACACCAAACCAATCCGCAAATCCTTCTCTTGTTCACACATGCATCAATTTCCAACAAACACCTCTTCTTATCATTGTAATTTCATTTCAACTCCATTCAACTTCCTTCTTCCTCCCCCTCCATTAATGCATATGGTGGATTGCCTTCTTCAGCTTGTGGATCGATCTTCCCGGATTGAGATTCTTGGGGCAAGCATGCGTGCAGTTCATAATCGCATGGCATCGATACAGCTTGTACGTATCGTCCAGACTCTTCAGTCTCTCCTCCGTCATCTCATCACGCGAATCGGCGATCCATCGGTACGCTTGCTGCAGAATCGACGGGCCCAGATACTTATCGCCGTGCCACCAGTACGACGGGCACGACGTCGAGCAGCAGGCGCAGAGAATGCACTCGTACAGACCGTCCAGAAGCAGACGATCCTCGTGCGACTGCAGGTTCTCCACCTTGTAGTCCGTGCTCACAGCCGACTTCTTCTGCAGCCACGGCTTGATCGAAGCGTACTGCTCGTAGAAGTTCGTCATATCTGAGCGTTAGGAGGGAGAGGGAGGGCGTACCGGGGATGAGATCCTTGATGACGAACATGTGGGGGAGAGGACGCACCGTCATGGTGTCGGAACCGGGAGTGATCTTGGTAAGGCAGGCAAGACCATTCTCACCGTTGATGTTCATGGCACACGAACCGCAAATACCCTCACGGCACGATCTTCTAAAAGAAAAGGTAGGGTCAATCTGGTTCTTGATCTGGAAAAGGGCATCCAGCACCATGGTACCACAACTACAATAAAAGAGCGTCCCAATCCATACTCACTCACATCAACAGCATATCTCTCCATATGAGGCTTTCGGTCCTTGTTCGGAGTGTAACGGAAAACATCAAACAGCTTATAGGATGGCTACAAAAATAACCAAAATATAGAACCCCATACATGGTGCTGCTGCGCGTTAATCTTCATATCAGTAGAAAAGCAAGATGCCTGAAAAGGAGAAAGGCAAGCACCAGCACGAATGAGTCCATTCGAAAAGAGGCGAGTAGTTCTGGCAAGCATAATCAAACACTGGATACCTCAGAAGAGTAGTACTATAAGCTCCAAGCCTAGATAATAACCATTTGTTTTTTGCAATTCCAAAATTATGGTAGTATCGTATCGATTTGCTTTTCACAGTATTTCGTACACATTATTATTAAATTACTCTTTTGAAAGCAGCGATTCTAGATGCTTGATAAGGACCAAATCGGAATTAGCGGTGTCCTAAGTAAAAGTGACAATAGTTAATTTTCTAAGAGAAATTCGTAGCGAAATCGGGTGCAAGAAAGAGCATTTCCAAAAAAACAATTGAGAGATATGGAAATCATAAACCTTCAGAAGAGACAGGAAACCAAAGAAACTACTAGGAAAGGAACGAAAAACATATTTAGCAAATAAACAATTGTTTGTAAAGGCCATCGAACAAAAAGCAAAAAGGGAAACAGAGTTGGCATATTTCTTAAAATAATAGAATGGTACAGAAGTCCAAAAGTATGCTACTACCATGAAAGTAATGAGCTAGATTTGATCGATAGTATACCAGATTCAGGGTACCTTCTCTCTGACTACATAAGTGGCGAAAAACGGACAATAAATGTAGAAAATCGCACTTACGAAATACAACTATTTCAGGGAGATCATTCCAATGAATATTTGTTAAGCGAAATGAAAGATGGGAAGATTGAGGGTCGTTGCCAATTGTTCAATCGCGGAATCTTGAGTCTTGCATGGACGGTGAAGAATGGCACGCGAATCGGCGACGTTACGAACTATGAGAATGGAAAAGCATTGCGAAAAGAAAGCTGGAACTCTGTCTTCGGGAGTGTAGAGAGAAAAGTAATCGAAAACACCCAAACAGGACTGGTAATGTCAATCCGATGTAGTAGAGGTGACAGTGAAGATGAATCTGAAGAAAATAGGGAGGTTGTTATTTATCGGGGTGGATTTGACGAAGAAATGAATCGCAACGGATATGGAATTGAATATGACAAGGAAACGGGAGAAAAGAATTATCAAGGATACTGGGAAAAGGATAAATTGATACGAATAATACGTGAGTTTGATACCAAGAAGAATTGTATGATCGAATATGTTAATAACATGAATTCGGATATTTGGAACCGAGTGCCTATCTATATTGGAGAGTACTACTGTGAAAACGATACCTTTTTGAGACATGGGACTGGTTATTTGATTGATGAGCTGAGCGGAGCAGCTGTGAGAGAAAGCCAATGGGACCACGGTACGGAAATTAGTGGCGTCGACTTGTTTGACGGATGGTATATACAAGGAATGAAAGAGAGCATTCGAAGCATATTAAGCAATGAGGAACCAGCCGAAGTGGAAAACGAGCCTTTTTTTCCTGAAGTGTGCGTGGAAGTTCACGATAACGAAATATTGAACTTGACGAATCTGGAAGTGTCAGACTTAGTCATTGCTTCCAAAAGTGGTGCCAACATTCAGACTCTTGATTTGAACAAATTCAAGTGGCTACAGTCACTTCGAATCGGGAATGACTGCTTTTCTCAGGTGAAGGTGTTTAACCTCAACGGATTAAGAAGACTACACAGCATCAAGATCGGAAGCAATTCATTTACTTCGCAGAAAGATAGTTATGGAACGGAGCTGGAGAAATCGTTCCATATTTTCAACTGTGAAGAACTGAAATCGGTCAGCATTGGTCGATATAGTTTTTCTGATTTCGCTGGCGAATTTGAGATGAAAGATTTGCCTTGCCTTAGTTCTCTAAAAATAGGATCTGTAGGAAAGGAGTCGTACAACTTTTATTCGGCTTCCTTTGTACTTCTAAGTAGATTTAACTTCGAAAATTGATGTGCTAGACCACTTACATCTTTCATCCATCACTTTAGGCAAGCAATCCTTTTTGAATTCTTCGATAACTCGAATCGAAAGTACAACTCACATATTGGTCGTGTGTAATCCGTTAGATCTTCCAGCATTATTGTCGATAGAACTAGGATGGGAAGCTCTGTGTGGAAACAAAGAGGACCGTAACTGTTCTCTCATAATGCGAAGTACGAATTAACGAAACGTAGTAATTCTCTGTCAGATCTTCCACTCTTTTCTACTCTCACATCTAAGGGAGGCAGTTTCAAATTTACGCGAAGGATCAAATTCGATAGTATTTTCCATCTCTGATTAGTACCTTGTGCAGATATTCCCAATCTTTCTTTTGTTGACCTGCCTCATGGAGCCTTCGAAACAGTAGAGTTAACAACGATTCACAGTACAAACGTGAACTATTTATCATTGCAGACATTAACGACCTGCTGTTCCCCAAGGTATACGGTTACTCGTATATCCAGTCGCTGGAATCAACGATTTGTAATCTCATTTTGCCCGACTGGTTGTGCAATGACATGAAATATGTGAAGTTTGATTTCTCTCGATTTTCTCTTTTGAAATCGTTAGAAATTGGAAACGACAGCTTTCGATTCGTGAAGACATTCACACTCGACGGTTTGCATCAACTGAAAAGTCTAAAGATCGGAAAGAATTCATTCACCCAAGTGAAGCTCGCGCACTGGGAAAATGATTCCAGCGCGATGGCGAAGGCCATCAAATCATCCTCCAAATCATTCCACCTGCTAAATTGCGAACAATTGGAAACTGTAGAGATTGGCGAATGCAGTTTTTCGGATTATACGGGAGGTTTTGAGTTGAGGAATCTTCCAGAATTGCTGTCGATCACGATTGGAAAGGTCAATAGCGTATCAAGGAATTTCTATGCGAGCTCTTTTGTGATTCAAGGTGAAACACTGTTTCCACAAGTGTTATGGTTAGATCTTCCAAAACTCATTTCTATTCGATTGGGCAATTTGTCCTTCCGTGATGCTTTAGAAATTAGCATTGAGGGTATTGGCTTGGAGGCAGGCTGCTGATCTGCGTAGATCTTTATTCTCTGCAATACATCGAAATGGGCTTTTGCGCACTTGGCGCTCGGGATAAAGAGGCGAGTTCGTTAACGATGCGAAGTAAAAATATATAGAAAGCATGCGTGATTTTGAATAGATCTTTTTTCTCTAACGACCATAATCAGTCATAAGGGAAGCAGTTTTGAAAATGTGTCCAAGGTTGTGCTGGAAAGTTGTTGATAAAGAGGAATTTGGATTGTAGATATTCCGAATATTGTATTAGCCGAGTTGAAAGATTCCTTCAAGATGGTTCATTCAAAAACCATCACAAGTAGGTCGAGTTTGAAAGATGAAATTCTAGATGTGTCCATTATTCTTTCTTCCCTCGTTTCGATCCATCACTAAAGTGTAAAAGTTTGATACGAGACATTTTTGGGAATTGAGCTTTACTTTAGATCATTATTATTTGTTTGTTTATATGAACTATTCTGTTGAAGAAAATACCATAACCAGTACTCGGCAGTGAACAGGTATCATTTCCACGATATTCACCTCATGACTGCTACGAATAGGGTGAAATCTCCAGGCATCATTATTTGAGAATAGCCATTAGAGACACAGATAATAGCAAAAGCTATATAATAACAAATCAGTTGCACAACAAATGAATCATAAAAGTAACCCCTATTTTTGGAATTGCAGTAAAGAGGTATTCTTGTGCACCACATCAAATGACATGCAATTGGATTCTCAATAGTATTTATTCAGATTAATAGTAGTTACAATATTTCAAATATACACACGCAATAATGCAATATGCAGTAGTATTACCATTTTGACAAATGCATTTGCCTTCTAGACCTAGTAATTACTTAATATAAATATGCACACTATACAAACCTTTTTATACTATTTGCTCTGTTAAAAATAACACAGAATGAAACTGCTTTTCCCTTTTTTTATGATTTCTCATATTATCATTATTCAATTCCTACAGAATGAAAGAGGAATGTATGGTCTATCTTTTGTGATCATGAATAGCTAATTTGAAAAAGATTTATGGAGCGGAGTATTTGCTAGACGGATACATTACGTACGGCCACCCTGAACCTTTGAGCAAGAATGGAATACGATATACAGTCCAACGATATCAAGGAAAGCACAAGAACGAATTTACTTTACGAACTGAAGCTGGAGACATATTTCTGTTTGAAAATAATGTACTGAAACAAAAATGGCGAGAAGACAAGAATGGGAAGAAATTGGATGAGTTCATCGCCTTCAAGAATGGTCGAGTTGACTTTCACCAGCGATTCCATGATATTCAAAAGAATATAAATAGTAACCGCATTGTGTACCACAAGAAGGGACTTCGAATGGAAATATGGTCAGCCCAAACAGGCCATTTGCTGTATCACGGAGAATGTAACGGTGAACGTCTGAAAGAAGGCTGGGGTATCGAATACGATGAAGAAAGCGGAAATGTGGCTGTGGAAGGGATGTGGAGTAATGGAATATTGAAAGAAGTGATTCGATGTTTCAATGGAGATACGATGACAGAATTGAAGCGAAACGGAGCAGATAGTTTGGATCCAACGAAACGAATTCCGATCTATGTGGGTGGATTTCGCTATGATGAAGACAATGAACGATTTATTCGTGAAGGGAAAGGATGTCTGATTGATGAAAAGACTGGAATGGCAACTCGAGAATGTGAATGGAAAGATGGAAAGGAAGTGAGTGGAATGAATCTATACTGTGGATGGTATAACTATCCTCCGAAACAGATAATGATACGATATTCTCAAGAAATTACAAATATGAGTTTGCAAGTGACCGATTTGATAGTTTCATCGAATTGCTGTAACGATTTGAATGAGTTGAATCTAAACAGTTATGAATTATTACAGTCCATCGAAATCGGTGATGAATGTTTTGGCTCAGTGCAAACATTCCAAATCGATGGATTGAATCAATTGAAAACTATCAAAATCGGCAAGAATTCATTTACTCAGAAAAAGAAAAGCAGAGGAAATAACAAATCGAACTCATTCCACATATTGAATTGTGGATCATTACAATCCATTCAAATTGGTGAATATAGTTTCAGTGATTTTGCTGGAGACTTTGAATTGAAGAATCTACCACAATTACAATCCATACGAATTGGTACAATTGGTAAATGGTCATCCAATTTCTATTATAATTCATTTGTGATTCGAGGTATTGATATGATATTGAATATTTGAATGATGCCTAGATCTTTTAAATCTCAAATTTATTACATTAGGTGATGGTGTATTTCGGCAAGCTTCATCAATACTATTTGAAAGTATTGAATGAATTCGAATGAAATGATTGATGTAGATCTTCCATCATTACAATCCATTCAACTTGGAGCAGAAGCTATTGATGGAAATGATGGGGACATATCATGTTCCTTGGTAATGCAAAGTATAAATGGAATGAATAGAAACGATTGAATGTAGATCTTCCACAACTAGCATCAATTACTAATACTAAAGGATGCAGTTTTAATGAAGCTCGTCTAATAACACTGGAAAGTGAGTATATTTCTTTAACATGATTTCTATAGATATTCCCAACCTTAGAAATGTTGACTTACCAAATTCGTTCCACAGCGTGATGAAATCCACATTTAATAGTATAAAATGTACTCTTATTCATATTAGACGTTTCTTCTTTGTTAACTCGGTTATTCCCAACAAAAATGTATCATTTCGATTACATTCAATCAATTGTATCATCAGTTTCTCAAATAAGACTTCCTAACTGGATTTGTAATGATTCTGATTTTAAGGATTTCGATTTTTCTCGATTTGTTGCTCTAGAATCTCTCAACACTGGAGATGATAGTTTTAGTTATGTACAAACATTCAAAATCGATGGATTGAATCGATTGAAAACTATCAAAATCGGCAAGAATTCATTTACTCAGGTTAAAGGCGGTCCTTCGTCTCTTAGTTATTACAAATCGAAATCTTTTCACATATTGAATTGTGGATCATTACAATCCATTCAAATTGGTCGATTCAGTTTCAGTGATTTTGCTGGAGACTTTGAATTGAAGAATCTACCACAATTACAATCCATTCAAATTGGTACAATTGGAAGTGAATCATCCAATTTCTATAATTGTTCATTTGTGATTCGAGGTATTGATATGATAATGAATATTTGAATGATGCATAGATCTTCCAAATCTCAAATTTATTACATTAGGTGATGATACATTCCAATTATCCCTATCAACAATAATTGAAAGTATTGAATGAATTCGAATGAAATGATTGATGTAGATCTTCCATCATTACAATCCATTCAACTTGGTGATAGTGCACTTTGGGGAAAGGGAAAGGATTCATGTTCATTGACAATGCGAAGTATGAATGAATTGATTGGTTATGATTTGTTTTGTAGATCTTCCGAATCTAATATCCATAATAAATTCTAATGGAGATAGTTTTACTAATCCTCGTGCAGTAACATTGGAGAGTAATCATTAATTGAGAAAATCGATAGTATTTAGATGTACCAATTTTACAAAAGATCAATCTACCTGATTCGTTCCAGAATGTTAAGTCAATATCAATGTCGAGTATAGTTTGATCGATTTGATTTCATTCATAGATGTTTCTCATGATCTTTATAAACAAGTTGAAATCAAATATTAATACTCCAGGATCAGCAGGATGGTGTTTGGATATACATGCTAATGATCGTATTTATTGTTTGTTTGTTTCAAACGTACACTGTATCATATTGTACTCAGTCTTGCTTTTGTATTAGCTGCTTTATTAGATTAGCATCATTATTAATATCGTCACATGGGATTGTTGATATCTCAATATAATCATCTGTTTGTTATTTCGTGATGTGTATATAGGATAGAAACATCTTTAAACACCCCAAATGCTGCTTAATAGTAATATGATTATGTTTTCTATTTAAAATTCCCGATTTCATTCGCGTAATCTGCAAAGCTAATATTTTCTTAATTCCAACAAACAAAGCAGAGCATAAATTACATAAAAGCTCTTATCGTGTTCTGCTGTACCAACTCTGGCATTGCCCATTTCCACAGACATGGATTGCACACACGTTTTTACCACAGTTGTGGCAAGATCGAACAGTCTCGGTCCTATTGCAAAAACTGCAAGTATGCATTATTGCTATTATAAATGAATAAATATGACTTTCGTTTTAATCTATTCATTTGAACATTCATGTTAACGTAATGAGCTCACAAAAATCCTACTCTCCACACTCATATGCATGCTCCAAATACCATTTCACATTCCTTGTGTATTTGTTAATCAGCAATCTGCATCATATCTCCACAAAGAAAACATAGCCAAATTCAGGCTAGATCCCAACCATATCTTCCTTTATTGCCTTTATCCTATTCCCCTTCTTTCCCTCTAGTACCTCTCCAACCCACTCCACATTCATTTCATTCAACAAACACTCCACATTTCACACCTCTAATTTAGTTCGTCTCCTTGGTCCACTCGCAATGGTACGTCATTCCGCGCGCGCAGTCGGTTCGTTCGAAGCTGCTCGCCTCCAAAAAGTCCCGCATCGCCTGTCCCTCATCCCTCCTCGTTCTCTCCTACCACCACCACGTTCTGCGGTAATTTATCGCGTCGCATCGTATCATAGTACGCCAAGCTCGCCGTCGCCACCGGCGCGGACACGCCTCCGATCACCGCCAGCGCCGCGACGCGTCTCCACGACGCCTGTTTCTTCTGCAGGATTTCGCTCACCGCCTCGTTCTGCAGCAAGCTCAAATCTCCGTTCTCCACGCTCTCCTTCAGCCTATGCGTCACCTCTCTCTTCTTCTTCTTCTTCTCCTACACGACCAGCAATCCCGAGCGGAACGACGCCGCGCCCGCCACCACGCGGCCCACTTCCTCCAGCTTCATCGCCCAGCTGAAGTCCTCCGACGCGCGGCGCAGCAGCGCGAACGTCTGCGTCGCGAGCACCAGCTGGCCGCACACGAACGTGTTGCGCAGATCCTCGATGAGCTGCACGTGGTCCAGCTTCTGCCAGTCGAATTCGGGGCCGTTCCACAGCGTGGCCGCTACCGATCAGCCCTCTCAACCCGAGCGCACCTTTGCTTCGCTCCTCGCGCTTCGCGCTCACCGCGATCTCCTGCACGGCGGCGGTCAGAGCGCCGATCGCCGCGTGGTGCTCGAAGCCCTCGCGGAGAAGCGTGGAGTGGTCGGGACGGGGCAGCGGACAGTCCAGAACCTTGTCGAGGAGCGATCCCTCGCCCTTCTCGCAGCCCTCCACGTCCTGGTCTTTCTTCTTGAGGATGTGCAGCAGGTTTTCGAGGAAGGGGCTCGCCAGCGAGTCCTTGTTCCACCCGTTGATGCTCTTGCTCACTTCCTCGTTGGTGAAGCCCGCTTCGTGCAGCATGTGGTACGCTTCCGCCACCAGCTGCTCCATTCCCAGACCCAGACTCGACAGCGCCATGCCCGCGTATCCAGCACTCACAGAGTTGCCGATGTACGCCACGCACGGCTCGTACTCCACCTCGGTCGCAGCCTTCTTCAGAGGACCTTCGACGAGGTCGTACGCTTCGCGCTCGCCGCTTAGCAGGAAGCCGCATCCCTTCTGGAGCTCTTTGGTCGTGCCCAAAATCTCCATGGTCAGGAAACGCACGCCCTTCTCGGCTGCTTCCTTCTCACGACGAAGGTTGATTTCGTAGCCCTCGCTCGTAGCGTCGATCAGAAGATCGCCTTCCTACAAGTTCAGTTTGGGGAATACCGTAAATACCTCCAGAGCGGCAAGGATTTTGGAGTAATTTTTCTCTGCGCTGGTTCCAGGCTTGGACATCAAAATAACCTTCTTTGGGGAACTGAGCGAATCGCAAAAGCCATTTACCTAGACCTCAAAATTACTAACCAATTAACTACATCTTTCTTTCCTGTGATTTTCTCGTCAAGATCCTTCTTCTCGGCTTGGTGCGTGCATTCCTTAATCTAGCGTTCATGTGCAAGGTATTCCACATACCAAATCCGAGGAGCGGTGTCCAATCGACACACTCAGTCCCTTTGCTGCAAAATTCAATGCCAAATTGATGGCTCGCGTCGACAACCCGTAGATACCAATATCTGATGACATAATATAAATCCTGATTGTTGAATAATCTCAAATCTTCATTATTCCAAAAATCAACCTTTTTTGAATTGTCGCTCCTTTCACTCTGAAATGATGGAAAAAGTGCATCTATTCATCTCGGATATTCAGTACCATCTTTCTGCAATGCCTAGTCCCTAACGATATTAAAAACTCTGCCACTGTTTCGTATTTTTATAGACATAACGGGTTACGGTACACTTTTCTTTGAATCGTTTCTGTTTCCATAGTATTCATCATTTCTCAGAATGTGCAATCGTCGTGTTAATATCGAATATCACCTACATTCGATAATTCATTTGCTTTTTTCGTGCAATCGCTGTGTTGATTTTCTCCTTATTCACTATTCTAAATATAACCATGAGTAGGACTGTTTCCTTTACCTGACATCTAGTTTTTAAGACCCTCGAAGAGTTGAACGAGTATTTCTTGACCCATTCTTACTGCGTTGGCTATGCTCCCACCAACAAGGACGCTGAGCTTTTCGCCATTGTTCACAAAATGATGGACTCTCAGAAGTACCCTCACCTGGCCCGTTGGTTCAAGCACATGTGCTCTTTCCCCAACAAGGCTGCTTTCCCTGTGGTTGAGGAGGAGTTCGTTTTCGAGACTGCCCCTGCTGCCGCCCCCGCCGCCCCCGCTGCTGCTGAGAAGAAGGAGGAGGAAGAGGAAGAGGAGGAAGAGGATCTGTTCGGAGATGACGACGACGAGGAGGACGAGGAGGCCGCTGCTGCCATGGAGGCGAAGCTGCGCGCTGAGGCTGAGAAGAAGAAGGCCGCGAAGGAGGCGAACAAGAAGGTGGAGAAGTCTCTGCTGGTGATCAACATCAAGCCCTACGACGAGGAGACGGATCTGAAGGCTCTGTTCGAGAAGATCCGCGCCACCGAGGTCAAGGGATGCAAGTGGAGCGAGACCTGCAACATCGAGCCTCTGGCCTATGGACTGTGCTTCCTGCAGATTTCCTGCGTGATTGAGGATGATGTCTGCTCTGAGGATGATGTCATCGATGCCATTATGCAGTTCGAGAACGACGTGCAGTCCACTGAGACCGCTTCGTTCAACAAGATTTCTTAAGTTAAGTGGTTGAACTATATTTCTGCCTGTTTGTTTGCACATTTTATTTGATGGTGCGTTGTGGTCAATTAGTGGTGGGTCCGGCTGGCTCTGGGAAGTCCACCTATTGTAATGCTATCAAGGAACTCTGTGCTGATCAGCATCGGCGTGCCTACCTCATCAACCTCGATCCTGCAGCAGAGGATTTACCGTACGAGTGTGATATAGGTAATAGATGGGTACAGTTTGGGAAATAGACATTCGTGACCTAATCTCGCTTGATGATGCTGTGGACGAAATGAAACTTGGTCCTAACGGTGGCCTTGTGTTTTGCGTCGAATATCTAAGTCAAAATATGGAGTGGCTGGAAGATGAGCTTTCTCAATTCGATGAGGATGGTTATTTTATCTTCGACAGTCCGGGTATCGATTTTTTTTGATATTGTTTGATTGGCAGGACAAATCGAATTGTTTACTCACTTTAGCTTCTTTGGTGATATTACAAAGCGCCTTGTAGACTTCGGCTTTCACCTAATTTCTGTTTATCTCGTTTGAATGTTTCTTGTTCGCATTGATGTGTAGATGGATTGTCCATTCATTTCTGACGAGTCGAAGTATATCTCAGGCAGTCTGATGGCTCTCTCCGCAATGCTGCAACTCGGCCTTCCTCACTTAAACGTTTCCCTTTCGTCTATTACTTTGATTGCAGATTTTGACCAAATGCGACCTTGTTTCGCAGGACACACTGGATAAGTACGGCAAATCCATCCATCAGAGTAAACCATAGATTCCGCTTTCCCGACGGAGATGCGTTGATTGACCGTTTACAAAGAAAAGAAGGAAGTAGGATATGTATTTGCTTTATCATCTCGTTAGAAACACCGTTTACAAGACTAAACGATGCGATCAGTTCTCTGGTAGGACATGGTGGGAGAATTTGTGATTGTATGTAGTTGGATGATTTCGGCATGGTTTCCTATCTGGAATTTAGTATTCGGAACGAGGATATGATGAACGCGGTGTTACTGGAGACAGATACCTTGTTGCAGTATGGAGAAGATTTGGACAATGAGGACAAACTGCCAGAAGAAGACTTTGAGACTGTGGACTAGTGAGTTTATAGGATTGTTTGTGAACAAAACACACGCTATCTCTTTCTAGGTAATCGTTTATGCATTTTGTTTTCTAGTTGGAAAATTTTAATCTAGGTTGTATAAATAATATAAAAAATTACCTCTCTGGTGGTATAAGTTACAAATAGCGCCTTCTTTTTGACAGAGTCAGCTAATCTTACAAAGGATGCAATCTCCCCTTGTATAGGAAGAGTCGAATCATTATCGTGAATCAAAACCAAAGCAACGCCATGCTTGTGTTCCTCATCACCGGATTTGTACAGAATAAAATCACTCCCATATTTAAAACCACTCTTTACATGATACCCCCTAGAATGCTGAAGCAATTCTTCATCTTACTTGTCAGTGTAGTATTGGTTTACTTGCTCTCGAACAAGCTCATAATTACTCATTCATATATATTGGTAGCTGTAATCTGTGAGTATAATATTGACTATTGAAATTATGACAAGCTTCTTCGTTGTGTTATCAACGAATTGATGAAAGAATCATTCCATGCCATCTGACACTCCTGAGGAGCAAGCTATCGGAGAGTATCAACGTGTAGCTTAGAATGCGACTCCTTTTTTCTAGTTAGAACTTCTCTCGCGAGACAGAGATACGCTGATGTAGCCGATTGTTTATTATTTCGACTTAGTTTTAAGGCCTTTTCGACGAGTGATGGAAAAGAACTGATCTGGAAGGAATTGAATGTGTCACGATGGACTCAATCCAATCGCTATTGCTTTATGAATGCCCTGAAAATGGTGGAGGAATTTCAACCCGTGGAGTAGTCAATTGGAAATAGATATGAGAATCCTAGCTGTATTCTGAAGTGCTTTGCTCACAAATACGATCCAAAGCAACAGAAGGTGATTTACATAACGGAATCGATATCGGACAACGTGATGAAGTAGTTTTTATTCGCCTCATCTCAAACTCAGTGCTCTTCGCCCCGTTGGTATGGTCTATCTCCAAGTAATTCGAAAATGGGTTCGCTGTTTGTTGATGGCTCTCAGCTATCTCCACTATGAAGCCCCCTTTTCCCCTCTGATTCATGGACATTTGCAGTTTCCTATCTCTCTTCCTGCTTGTTCATTAGATGCCATAATGTGCTTTTCGTTCGAGGAGATGGCCTTGTGAAACTAGGAGGCTACTCGTGGCTAACACGAGCTGATGAGTGTGCGAATTACTACTTCCCGATGCGAGCTCGACAAGATGGTAGAACAAGGGTGTGGCATGAACGAATGAGAATGTGTTGGTTATTACCCGAAAGAAGTTTTGTTTGATGAAGAATGGACGCCAAAAATAGATGTGTATGCCTTGGGGATGGTGATTATCCATTTTATTACACAACGCAAACCGTAGAGTTTGAACCCTTATGTGATTTGTAGATATGAAGAGGTGGGAGACAATGAAGCGATTATCCAGGCAATCAAGCGAGTGAGACGAGAAGGAGATGGAATGAATTGCAGGGAGATTATCCGCTGGGTCTGCGCGTGATTCGTCAAATCGATGATGAACTGTATGATTTCGTTGAGAACTGCTTGCAATCGCGAGTATGAATTCTGCTCTTCCAATTGAAATGCATAGAGTCTTCGTCCCGATGTGAAGAAATTGCTCTCCCATCGATTTTTGTCGTGTACAAACAATTGTGAAATTCCTCTCGAAATGAATCGCTTATCCGATCCATCTATTCTTTCGAATCGTTTGCGTTTGGAAGCCAAAATCTGATTGAATAGGAGGGAGATTCTCTGTCCGCGAACACTCCTCTCGCTTTTTTAATTTTGCGAGTGACAACATGAATTCGAGTGAACGAACTCTCAGCATTGACCCCAAAACAGGAACAGGAACAAGAACAGGAACCAAAATTGGAACCGAAATTGGAATCGGAATCGGAAGTGGAGCCGGAAATGGAAATGGGAATGGAAGTGGGAACGAATTCAACAGTCCAGAGAACGACGATCCGAACCAACTAACCTTTTCGCTTGATTTACATTCGCCATTCCCATTTCACAAAACACCCTCTTGGAACACCGGAATCGCTCGTTCTGTTGAACCGATCCGTTCCTTTGATTTGCATCGCAGTGTCGATTCTATCAATAGCGATTCGTATTTTTCCCTACCTGCCAATCGATTGGATGTAGATTACGAAGAGACACGCCATCTCCCATCATGTCTCCACGCGCCACTCCCTCCTTTCCTCACTCAGCAATGCAATACCAAATGATTCCCACTCACTACATGATTCGATTACTGATTCAGATCCGATCTGCCAGCCAAGTAAATGATTCCATTCGCGTCTTACACGTGACCCTGGAGTGGAACCCGCAAGAAGTAACGCTCCTCGATCTTGTGAATCGGCTCTTGGAGCATCTATCGCTCAGTCTGTCGTACGCATCTTCCTTTCTTCAAACGATAAACAACGGATTCTCCAAAGTGTCTTACTTGCAGGGACCGTTTCTCCAGGACAATCCTCGCATCGAGCGAATCGATGCCAAATCGCTGCTTTCATCGCTGCGATTAAGCTTCGCTCTGCCGGTCATCGAGCAGCAGCAGATGTGGCTTTCATTCATTTATGATCCTCAATCGGAATCCATCGAAAAGCTCTGCGACTCCTTCGAAAACGCTTGCTGCTCTTATCTACCCCACGGAAAGCAGCACATCGACGAAATTCGCTTGTGGAGACTCCAATTCCGAAACAGCCTCGACGATTCTGTAGCTCTCCACGTGCTAGTTGAGTGTAGTTGACACGCCCTATTTGCTTCAACATCCGGTTTGGCCGGTGGAACATTTTCACACATCGGAAATCGCGGACAAACGTACCTTATACCCCATTGCTGAGAAAATAGAAAAAGTCTCGATTTCCGAGTGCCGCGCAGTCGCCACGAGTTAAACACATAGCGGAGGTGTCCTATGGGAACGATACCGAAGGACACTCGACTCTGGAATATCGAATACCCGAATCGTTGCTCTGCCCAGAAACGGGAGATACAGAGAACGTAGTTCAGTTCCGAATACCGGTTTCAAAGAATACGACGGCGAGCTCAGCAGTTAAAGATGCGATTGAAGAAGCACGGGTGGTCATTGGCCGGCAAGTGCCCATTTCAGATGAAACGGTTCGTCAATTAAAGGAGAGTACTGAGGTTTGTCTTCGGAATCATTTAATTGGATAATCCTTTTTTTGTTTAAACCGCGATTCTATTGTATTTCATTAAGATTTTAGCTCGTCCCCATTTTGGAACAGTATTCGTTTTGGAATCCCGTGCTGTATTTGTGATTCCATGTCCAATTGGTAGGGAAACTAAACACAATTAACTGCAGCAAAATTTTTGTGGGGGGTCTTTCTTATAGTACCACAGACCGTAAGAGAAACGGAATAGGACTGACCACAAGAGAGCTTGGCAAAGTATTTTCGCTCGTTTGGAGCGGTGCGAGAAGCTGTTGTAATGAAAACTAGTAACAGCCAATCTCGAGGTTTTGGCTTTTGCGTTTTTGAAACTAGTGTTGTTTGTCAAAGAGTTCTAAAGACAAAAGTGCATGTTATTGATAATAGGCGAGTATTTTTTATTGAGCAACGTGAAGAATAGGTAGATATTCGCCCTGCTTTATCAAAACAGGACGCTCCTCCTCCTCAGCAAGGTAGGCGATTTGAAGTGAGTTCACGAAAGGTTGTGCTTCAACTCAGATTAATTATAACAAGATTTTTGTGGGCGGTTTGCATTATCTAGTCACCGCAGGTAGTTGCGATATTTTTCTCTTTTGTATAGATGACCTAATCAACTATTTTAAAAAATTTGGAGACGTTGAAAACGGAAGTGTGATATTTAGCCGCGATAATCATAAGAGTCGCGGATTTGGCTTTGTGATATTTAAGAATTACGAAAGTGTCGAAAAAGCATTGAACTACACATCTCACTCGATTATGGGTCGAAAAATAGATGTGAAACTTGCAGTTCCCAAACAAGCAATAGAGAATCATCCGGAAGACAATAGATCATCCCACTATAATCATCTCACCTTTTCTGAACCACGACAATCCTTTGGCCAGCCCTTTCCACTCGATTTTGACTCACTTGTTTCTCCCCTTCAAGCCACTCAGATATAGGGTCGCCAGCATTTTTACTCCCAAGAAAAGCATATTAGAGAGGCCTATCCTAATTTTGAAGGCATTCCGAACCCTAACATGCTTGCTCCATCTCTTTCTACAGTCATTCCTTCCAATCCAGTTTCATATCCTGTACTACATCAGCGTTCATTTCACTACGCGTCACAGTGGAATCAACAGTATTCTGAAGCTGAATCGTTTCAGCCCCCTATTGGAAACGGTTCCTTCATGTCAAAAGACCCTCGTTTTATGAGCACGGGTAGCCGCTCTAGGTGCTACTATGACAGTCTGGATATGCCCCAGTCGCGCAATTCAGCCGGAAACCACAATTGTAATTTGGGCAGTTAGTGTTTTGTTTGTTACAATGAACCGCAAGCCTCCCGATCCGCTGTTCGTTTTGCGGGGTCACACGACTTCAGTTACTTGTTTGTGCCATCAGCCTGAGAATGAGGTCTGCTTCTCCGGGTATTCCAGTATCCACATGACTTTGGGGTAGAGATCAAAGCGGAGAGTTGATTTTGTGGAATATGAAGACACATCGACGTGTTTGCACCTTGAAGCGTTTCCATCACGGAGGTGTTTTGGAAACCGGCTTATTCTCCAACAATACTTTATTTTCGTGGATATTCCTGAGGGTTCGTGATGTAGACATGGAAGGGAGGGAATGGTCTCTCTATTTGATTTGCAAGCGACCTCCACTGCAAAATACCAATGTGCATCCCTGACATTCATGAAAGCTTCCTTGGCAAGTCAAGACCCTCCCATCTTGTTTGTTCCTGGAGAGAATGATAGTGTACAGCTTTCTTCAGGGCGTGATTCACCTGTACTAGATTTCACTTCTTGATATCCGTGTTTCTGAACGTTTGCCGTTTCTCGACTCAAACAAAATGAGAGGAATGGTCATGTCCTGTTCGGGAACCCTGCAGAATCTCTGTGTAGTGTGCTATGAGTCAGGCCATGCCTGCATAATCGATGGAAGAACACGCACGATTGTCGAGGAAGCACAGGTGTTCAAAGAGCCAAGTGAATTGTACTCACATCCATGCACTGTAGTTATCAGCATGGCTGCTGCGAGCGATTTGTCCACTATCGCCTGTGGATCCAGCAAGACCGACATGGCAGTTCTTCGCCGGAACTCGGGCCATAGTGCATTGCAAACGGTTTCGACTCCTTCGAATGGAATCCTGACGCTGTCTTACCGCTCGGATAATCGCTTGATCGCGTTAGGAGGACATGATGGGAAGTAGAATTTGAATGCTGCGACTCAGAATGAAGAATCCGGCTTTACGAAAGCAAATCGCTTCGGCCGCTCGCCATTTTAGCTAATCACGAAAGAAGTGTTCGAGTTGTTCGCTTTTCCTCGGACCATTCTCTCTTAAGCGGCGGAGACGACGCGAATATTATGGTGTGGGACATTTATAAACATGGGAATCGTTCTTTTGTTTTTTCCTAACACAAGTGGTATTCCATTTTTCGGAGGGTTTTCAATTTCACTCAATTGCTTCTTCACAGAAGAAATAAATCGAAAATAGAATGGAAACAGTAAAGAAGCACAGTGAAGAGGTCGCAGAATTAAATCAATCGATTGACGTTCTTTTTAGTCGCCTCCCCCAGATCGTTCAAGTTGCTCATTTTCATTGTCATCAAGCGTAGACATCGGTTCAAGACGCCATTGACCAGCTTCTCGTCTTGGAGAAGAAATCGCGTCTGGTCCGGGATTTCGGTCTGCCTTATATGTAGTTGATGGAGCCGACTATCACAGTCCGTATTTCTGATAGATTGCTGGAAGTGTGCTTTGAGACACAGAACTACACGAAACTGAATTCCTCCATCACACTCCTTGCAAAAAGAAGATCACAGCACGATGATGTATGCGATTTTTTCATTGCTTAGCTTTCCTTTCCTTTCCTTTCTGTTCGTGATGTGATCTTGCTGTTTTTGAATTCTGTTTGCCTTACCCATTCTCTTAGGTAATCGCCGCGGTCGTGCGAAAGGGAAAGTCCTATCTCAGCCAGATCCCGGACTACGACACAAAGCTGTCTCTTCTCCAAACTCTCCTCGACACATCCGAAGGCAAAGTACTTTCCCAGCTTCCCTTCTTCGACTCTCCTCTAGATGTACTTAGAAAGCGAGCGCGCCTCGCTGATCCGCGAGCTCATGAGCATGCGCGAGAGCCGAGGCGATCTGGAAGGCGCCGCCGCGGCGAGCCAAGAAATCCAAGTGGAGGTCTGCAACTCGCTGTCGAGCCGCGAGAAAGCGGAGTTCTTTTTGGAGCAGGTGGGCGAGCGTGTTTCCTTCGATCGCAGATCCGTCTGAGCCAGAAAGTCAACGAGTGGATCCGCGTGCCGCTCACCATCCAGAAGGTCAACGCGAAGCTCCTCAAAGACGAGCACATGGAGGACCTTCTCGAGCGCTTCGTGCAGCTCTGCATCGTCCAGCACGTCCACGACGACGACCTCCAAGCGCTCTACCGCGACTACGAGCGTCTTCTGGCGCTGTCTCGCTACGAAGAAGACGACGTGGCGAGCCGCGAGATCGTCACCATCCTCGTCGTGCTCGCCGTGCTGATGCCCTACGACGCCGAGCAGCAGCAGATCCTCCACTCGCTCGCTCGCGCGTACAGCCGCCACTGGAAGTACCTCCCCGACTACCGCGCGTTCCTGGCGTCCTTCGAGGTCGCCGAGCTGCTGAAGTGGCCGCTGCCGATGCTCGCCACAGTGCTGGACAACCCGCTCTTCACCAGCCCGCAGTGGGGCGACAAGCGCGAGGCCTGGCGGCAGCTGCTGCGTCGCCGCGTGGTGGAGCATGTGGGCGACGAGAGGCGCGGTGAGGCGTAGAATATCCGCGTGCTGGGCGCGTTTTTGTCGGTGGCGTCGCTGGGCCGCGTGGCGCAGCTGCTGCAGCTGAGCGAGGAGGAGGCGGAGGACGCGCTGGCGCAGGCGTGCGTGGAGGGCATGCTCTGGCTGCGGATGGACCGCGTGAAGAGGACGGTGAGCTTCAAGAAGACGGAGCCGGCGGAGAAAGTGCTGACGAATTGGACGGGTTTTGGTGAGAGAGGGGAGTGAGGGGTAGAGGACGTGAAGGAGGTGATGGACGAGCTGGACAAGATCGTGTATTTGATTGAGAAGGAGAAGATGATTAAGGAGGTGAAGCAGTGGCGTGTTTGTTGGACATTGGTTTTTATGGACAATGGGAGGAGGAATGGGTTTGTGAATACTCTCTCCGAGTATTCCATTCTCGATATTATCGGAAGGGGAACCTACGGGGAAGTCTACAAAGCGATTCATATCACGACCGGAGATGTCGTGGCTCTGAAAAAGGTAGACTTCAGCGACAGAGCGAGCTAACAACACAGATTTGCTATACCGACGTCGGTATTCCGAAATCGTCAACGCGCGAGATTCGCTTACTCTCTGCACTTCGACATCCAAACATTGAAAAATTGAGAGAGGTTGTCGTGGATGACAGTACGTTGCAGCGCTCGACCTGATGAGTGTGTAGTCAAAAAGGACTCTTCGCTGGTTCCAAGTCAGTTTTACCTCGTGTTTGACTACGTGGACAACGATCTAGCTGGAATCGTTCGTGCGGTCAAAAAGCAGTTGCTCCCACCGTAGTTCGTTTATTCCTTGCATCGACCGCAGTCTCTCTTCCCAAGTTCTCCGTGTTTACATCTACCAAATCGTGGAAGTACTCGACTTCCTCCATGGTTGTAATATCATTCACCGTGACATCAAACTCGATAATTTTCTGGTGACGAACGATCACCACATCCTTCTGACCGACTTTGGTCTCTCTCGCCAGATTCTCCCCACCTCCAATCGAATGTCTCTCCCCGTCTACGCATTGGCCTACAGAGCGCCAGAGATCCTCATGGAGAATCATTCGTACTCGATGCCGGCGGACATCTGGGCATTGGGCATTTTGATCTCGACGATCATTCTGGGGCGCCCTCCCTTCGAGGGAGATAGTGATGTTGCTTTGTTTGATCGAACTAACACGCAGCGCGAAGTGCTATCGAACATTATCAATCAATGTGGAGTGATTCCTCGCTCTATCAAAAATTGGCTAAAAGCGTTTGCTTTTCTTGTCACTTGCTTTGAAATAGAAACGATATCGAAATTCCTTTTTCCGAATTGCGCATGGTGCGAACATTGCTTCATAGTGGAAATGGCGTGATGTTTTCCTCCCAAACGTACGCTTTGACGCTTCTTTTTTTAATCGAAGAGACCAGGAGAACTTGCTGGATCTCTGCGATCGGCTGCTGGATTTGAATCCTGAAATGCGGCCTACCACGCAGCAGATCTTCTTCCATCCGTTCCTGCGCGATATGCTTCCGACCAATCAGCTTGTGGAGATTGACGTTCTCAAGAAGTGTGAATTGCCGTTGTTAAATATGGTGATGCGAAATGTCGAGTGTTTTTGTTTGATTTATGAAATGAAGGATTGTAGTGATTTGTTAGGACAGATTGGAATGAGGAGGTTATTAAAAATTGGGCCATGTTGTTGTTGTTGTTGTTATGAAATGAGTGGGAATTGTTTATTATGGTGGAACGCGGAGTGACAATAGAAGCTAGATGAAAAATGCAAGCGACACTTTTTTACGAAATACTTCATATTACCCTTTATAAGGTGCGTTGTGAAATGCAAATATCTATCTATGCAGATATATTCAGATTACCAACGTGTGTACAACAAAACAAGCAAAGAGAAAACTATCTTTGGCTTCAGAGTTGGTTTACATTAGGGATCATAAAACTGGAAAAGGATTCAATGATGTCGTCCATTACGGCGATTCCATTACCACGATTCTTCTTGTCCACATCGACACACCAGTTCTCGATCTGATTGTTCAGGAATCCAAAGAGCCAGCCATGAACGTGAATACTCTTCGTGTAGTGGGTCTTTGAACTGTCTCCATCGAGCGGAGTGTATAAACAGAGCTCATCACACAGAGCGATCGAATTCAAGGTCAAATTTTTAGTTCGCAGCGTCAACGTCTTGTTCTTCGGGTCCACAATCGACTCTTCTCCCGCATAAGAAGCTACATTTCCAATAATAGCTCTAATGAATGCTGGAACCTCCTGATAGACGACATGAAGTCTCTTTGTCACTAGACGGCCTTCTGAATCGATTTTCCGGCTAATCACGAACGCCTTTGAATGAGAGCATCTTGGATGCCCTAAAATCTTAGTCAGGGATCTAGCTACTTACAGTACTTTCTCCAAAAGGATGATGTAACACGTTCCCAGTTATAATCATAGGTATGTTGGAAAACAGAGTCCTTCATCGCTAATTACTTTTACAACACCAATTTCGAGCCAAAGTGTTATCGCGAGTAAATACGGTCCCTCGCTAATAAACCGAAATCTGACCATAAAACGTGGATCGGAACCGCGGTTAAACGCGGCAATGATACCAACAAACATTTTAGGAAAAGGTTCATATTGATTATTTCCAAGCTGTGTAAAGAAGGTGAAACCTCGATTTCAAAAACACTTCTGTCAGCGAATTCTAAAAATGAGGGGAATTAGGAGCGAGAACATCAAAACAGAGAATGGATTGAATATTCTTTTCTAGCAGGCCCAACACATTCAAAAGATCGATGTTTCCCTCCTTTTCTCCCTCCATCCAGGAGATCGCTTCCTTCTGAATATCCCTCGAATCCATCAGAAACAAATACAATATCAGTTCTTTGAACAGAAAAGCGTCAAATCCTTCAGGGCAGTTTCCCATTGCTGAGGAGTAAAACACAGAAGCTTCTTGATAGGCGCTCCGCAGTGTGGAGATTAGCTTTTTAACCGCTAGGAAATACAAATGATAGGGAGCCATCCCCCAAACGAGCATGAGCAGAGAGATCCGGTTCTCCTCATTTGCTTCTCTAAGAATCAAATCCCTAAAGAGGAGAGCGTTAAGAGCGCAGAAGCGTGTTACAAAAACATGCATCTACATTCATCAATGTTTTTGCTGTTTTGTCTACTCTGCGATACTCAAAATAGTCTATGGAGGTCATTGCGGTCTCTTCGCTTTTCCATCCCTGCAGTGCACCAGCCACTGCTTCTGCTAGTTCATCCAAACCCTGAGGATGATTCGTTTCGTGTGGAAAGAACATGCATTGATGGAGATTGCACAAAATCGCGATAGCATGAAGAAAAGGGAAAGGATGAGTACGAAGCGCCATAGAGCGAAGGAAACGACACGAACAGACAAGATCGAATCATCATCCTCTTTCTCTGAAGTTCTTTCGCATTTACCAGTAATCTACGTAAGAAATAAGAGATGTAAGGACAATTCAAGAGAGTGAATAAGAATCTCAGCGCTTTCGCATGAAAGCGTGTGGATCCAATCAAAACAATCGTCTATTTTCAAAGGATCGGAAGAATCAAATTGATCTGTGATGGTTGTGAGTGATTGTTCTAAATGGGAACTCGATTTTGAAAGGGAGAAAGAGAGGGAAGAAGAGTGGAAAGTGGTCGATTCTTGAAGAATTTGGGAGATGGTTTCTCTAGAATCAGCTACAAGAGCAGATTGGATATCCGAGTCTTGAGTGAATTGGGCACATAGAGAAACTACAAGAGCAGTGGGGAACAGAAGAGACGGAGGAGAGACGGAGGAGAACTGAATGACAGCGTCAATCACATTTCTACCATCCAGTTGGGAAACACACCACTCATGTCCGCGCGTCAAGTATTCCATTTCTAGAGGGGATTTCGTTTCAGAATTGTGGAGAAAACGACTGGTAGCAGAGTAATAGTGGAACACTTCAAAACAGGAAATAAGTGTAAATATACATAATTGGGATACTAGATTTGTTATAGCGGGTCCCAAAAACGAATAGATACGCAGGCAATTTGAGATAATGGGTGGAATCTATATATGAATGTTTTAGTAAAAATCCACATCACGATAAGTGTACAAAAAATCATGAAACGAACAAGAACGAATGCTCTAGCGTGAAAAGCATGGAAGGAGCTCTTACAGAAACAATCTTTTCCAGAAATAATGCAAAATCGTTCTCTTTACTATATATTTTCTCATGACAAGCACCTAGAAATAAGGCTCACAGAAATCTCTTTCTTGCATCCAGTTCAGTCCATTGATCTGTCTCCTTCTTCCATTTTTCAATTTGAATATACTGCATATAGGAAAAAAGGAAAAGAGTGAAAAAAACTGGAGTATAATTGTGTTCATCAAACAAACAATCAAAAGGAATTGAGTTACAAAACAAAAATCAGTGACTCGTATGAAATTCACATCGAAGAAAAGTGATTCACCCTCATCACTGACAGTGACAGAACATTACAATGAAAGCAACGGTGTAAAAGTTACAGCATCCTCCATCCATTTCATTCATTCATCTAGTCATCCATTACATTTTAATATACTTCAGCAACGACTGATTCACATTCCTTTCCGAGAAGAAGCTAATATTCTGAAACGGCTCCTCTTTCGAGTCCACCGAAACTTTCACCAGCGGCAGATCCGAGAGAACAACCATGCGTGTTTTCTTGAAGCAGCCTTTTTCAATGGAGAACGTTTTGAGCTTGGGCAGATCTATGATCAAGCGCAGAATCCAACGCAACGCTTCATACTCAATTGGCACCACTCGTCATCGCTGCCCATCAGCGCCTTTTCGCCCAGACGGATCGTTTCGAGCGAGGGCAGATCTAGAGAGATTGAGAAAAGAAAGCGAAGCGCGCACTTTCAAACACGGTGTTGAGCGAAAATTGGAAGGCTTCGTTGCCCAAAATCACAGTTTCGAGCTTGGGAAGGTCTAAAGAGAAGGATGGAGAGGTGGAAAGAACCTTTCAGACTGAACGAAAGCTTGAAGAAGTTGGTGGAATAGGCGCCCACTTCTCCGATTTGGAGGTATTTCAAGGAAGGGAGATTGAAGAGAGTGAACGAGTGCGCATAGTCGGTGAAGTTGTTGGGGTGAAGAATGATGGATTCCAATTCGGAGCAATTGGAGATGTTGAATGCGCGCGTTAAGATCGGGCCCGATGAAAGAGTGAAGGACAACTCCCCGATTTCGATCGATTTCAAGTGGTTTAAGTCGTGAATGCTGAACGAAGACACGTTGCGACAGGAATAAACTCCGACTGTGAAGTGCTCGAGAAGACGATAGTGATTGATGTCGAAGAAGATCTCGGAGTCGTTGAACGAATTGTCAGCAAGGCTGATCTCCTTTTCGTTCTCATCGATCTTGAAGTCGCTGAATTGCAGGCCTGGCTGCATCATCGCCCGTCCGCTCACTTTGATATCATCCGCCAAAATCGAAGCGACATCTGCAATGAATCGAGGAAATAATCAAGGCTACTACTCTCCACGTATTTCTTCTGCAATAGAGGGAAGCAAATCATCTGATTGGTTTTCGTGTCTTTGTATTTTATGCTCACCGTCTTCAGATTCGGAATGTCTATCATCGAACGCGATTCCAATGTGTACCGATCAGCTCGACGGATTGAATAAACTGGAAGCTGTATCCTCTCGAAGTGAAGGTTTCGAGCGAGGGAAGATCTATCGAGTTGGCTTCGAACGATCCAAGCGTACGTTTCATGATCAAGGTCGAGTTATTCCGCGCTCCCGAAAACGTAGTCCATCCAATTTTGAGGGTTTGCAATGCGGGAAGGTCTACTCATCACCAACCAATCAAGCACTCAATACTAGAGAGGTTGATCATTTTCTGCTCCTCAAACACGTGATCTCCCAACTCGATCGTTTTCAACTTCTCCAGATCTACGAATGAATCAACGAACAAATCGCTTTCCTTTCACCACAAAGTCGCAATGGTTGAAGTTGGCTGAGCTGTCGTCAATCGCTCCGATCTTGAGCAGCTCCAAAGAAGGAAGTCCGCTCAGCTCAAACTCGCCGCTAAAGAATTGAAAACTGAAGGAGCCGATGATGATGGAACGCAGGCGAGCGCAATCAACCAGGCTGAACGTTCGATTCATTCGATTGGTTGGATCGATCCGATAGAATGAATGGTCGAGAATCTCCAATTCTTCCAAGTGATTACTATCACTCAGCGAAAAATGATCGGTGTTGCAAAAGTTATACGCTCCTATCACAATCTTCTTTGCTTGCTTGTACTTGCTCAAGTCTAAATAGTGTTCAAATTTGAACTTCTCGGCCGGCACGTTGATTTCGGTACAATCGATCGGGAGGTGAAGAGGATCTTCTTCCACTTTGTACCACCCATTGATTAAGAGAGTCGACTGCTCCACAATTCCTTTTTTCCATTCTCCTTCACAGTTCGCTCTGCCATCAAGATCGATGATATATCCCTTGCCGTTCCGGCAGCACGTACAATGATCCTCATCATACGTGTACCCACCCACATAAATCGGAACCTGCGAATAAATGTCCGTGCAATTTCCAATATCCATAAACTCGGTCGTGGTATCGTCTTCGAACAAACGGATGATTCGTACCAAGGAATCGTTGACCCATTCTCCCTCCAATAGGAGCTTGCCAGTTCGGCTGTCGAATTCGAAACCCCTTCCTATTCTTTTTCCATCTTTGTTAAGACCACCTCGGTAGATTGTGACTAGGGTTTCTTTATCCACAATTTCCCTTATATAGCCAGATTTTCTATTAATGGTGCGGATACAAGAAGCATTGTTAAGTGAGTCCCAGTCTTGGCGATATAAAGCACGCCCTCCTTCAAAAATTTCAAAATCTCCGCTAATCTCTTCATCGCTTACTTTCCAAATGCCGCGCAAAATACCATTTTCATAATGTCGAATCTCTTCCTCATTTATCAAAGTATATTCATCTTCGTGCTCTCCCTTGTAACGCTGGATATTAAAAGGCTGATCAGACCGAGTAATTGGTACAGGAGGTCCATCTCTTTCATATCCACTAAATAGATGGCATTTTTCTATTTTCAGAACTCAAAATAATAATACCCTACTCAAGAGACACTCGAGAGCCATTGTCAAAAAAATGTTTTGAGTTTCAAATTAAGACGGAAATAATGTGTACTCTCAGAACAAAGAAGTTGCTACTAGACTGTTTGGAAACGCAGATAATAAACGGAGTGAAACACTGTTATTTAATAGTGGTACGTCAGTCTTTGGCTGCGCTCTTATCGATTATATGAAGACTGTGAAGCATATAGTATGGAAAAACAAGGAACAGGAATAGAGGCTTGAAATGTGTTTACCAGTATAGAATAGAATGAATAGAATTGCAGAATACAATGGGATAAATTGTAGCAGAATAAGAAAAAGGGATGAGGCTTTGAAGAAAGACATGTGAAGAGTAATTATGGATATTTTCAAGAATCGGGTATGGGAATGAATTTGTGGATATGGATAACAACATTGTATATGATAATGATGATGAAGGATTGAAAACGAATCCATTGGTTCATCATTTGCTTTTCTCCATAATAGTAGGATAATACAACGTATAATGACAATTGCTGCTTGTAAAAGGCTGCTGGATAGGAAAGCTATGATGGTTGGAAATAGGTAGTTGAAAGAGTACAAGTGCAAATCAATCTCAGTGTTTCCACTGAGTGGAAAATAAGGATATTTCTTAGAATAATAATATTATATATAATGATTAACGATGTCTTAGAGTAAGAAAAATGGTATAATCCCAAGATATTCAAGTCGATTAGAATCCTTTGTGACCCATCAATTATAAGCAAAAAGCACAAAACAGATTCCATTACAGAGAAATATAAATTATCATTTGAAAAGAAAAATATACTGACCTTGATACAATAACAAACATGAATTGAAAACACTCAAGAAATACCTACAAATCGCTTGTATTCGGTAATGGTAGTATCTGTTACAACTTTTACAAAGTTTGTTTCTGTAGTCACTTCAGCACTATCCACGATTTTAGGACCCAACGCAGATTGCATTCTTCTCATTGTAAGCTTGATCTCCGCCGGCCTAATTGGCATAAACATGATACGAATGTTCGAAAAGGAACGGATGTCCCGATAAAGTGTACTCCAAACTTTGTCAATACTTTTACCATTTACATAATGTGTAACTCTACAGCCTGGTGTATCTCCATGATATGCATAGTCTCCAACAATAAGAATCAAATGATTGTACGTATTGTATGGCGATCGTTTCATTTGTTCCAAAGCTCGTATTAATCCTCCTTGGATATCACCACAGCCATCACCACCACCACTTGTTCTAAACGAGGCTAGCTTTGCTTGTAATTTTGTGAAGTCATCTGTGATGTATTCAGATGTTTCTCCCAAAAGAGTATCATGAAAATTCTTATACTGCACAACTTGTCCCACAATTCCTCCTCTTGGAAGATGATAATTCTTTTCAATCTTCTTCAACTGATTCAAAATCTCAACAATGTTTTCTCGCGTTGCATTGATATAAGAACTCATTGATCCTGTAGTATCGATAACAACACTCATACAGAAATTTGCTGGCTTTCGTTGCTTTTGAGTGCAGGCCGTTTCTCGTTTTTCCATCGGTTTCTTCCCAGGAAGATGTACTCCATTCATTTTGATTCCCGATTTCAAGCTAGGATCCAATGATCGTTCTTCTTCAAATTCTTCCGTGCTACACAACCAAACTGCAGCATTGCTGATCCATCGTGCAGTTCCATCCTCAGTGAACTCCAAAAACAACTTGGAGGCAGCGGTATCAATAATCATTCTACCCTCTCTACTTCCTTCCTTCTTTTCTTTCACCATAATCGAGGTGTAACCTCCATTTTCCTTCGCAAATACGCGGAATCCTATTTTTTCTAACTTCCTTTCGTTCAACGTGCACAATGTTCTTCCTTCGAAAATGCGTACAATGCCAAAATCCAAACGAGAGAGATTGTGGAAGTCAAGAGCCTTTCCGCCAATCGTGATGAAGTGACCTGCTTTTGGTTTTGCAGCTTTAACTCGTTCCATCACGTTGCCTCCTGGAATGTTCACATCTTTATCCCCCACTGCTTCGAACTTATAAAATTGCTTAAAGTATAAATCAGCCTCATAAGTGAATGGATAGTTCTCCAAGAACCAAAACACACCACCTCCTCTCATATTGAATTCATGAACACAACTCACAAAGGCATCCGCATATTGGTCCACATCTTTATCACACTCTTTTGCCATGATTCCATCTCCAGGAGAACAAGTTATGAATGTCACTCGATATCTACCACTTGACAAAGCATTAATCGCAGTTTTGTAATCATAGGCATAACCAATCTTGAATCCTTTGCCTATCGGCTGTCCATTGACCTCCTTATCTCCTAACTTCAATACTGGCGAAAACGTTTCCCCACTAACTTCCTTTCCATACATCAATACTTGCTCCGTAATGTACTCATCAATCACCTTTCCATTTTCATCTTTCTCTCCGCGGCACAAATACAGAATGATAAACAAAATCGAATAGTCACCAAACGCTCCATCCACTCCCAAATCATATTTACTGTTGTTAATATCGCCTATCTTTTTCAAGGCGTTTGGTCCATCGGTTACATCTGCAAATCTTACATTGCTCAATGTGGTTTCATAACTACTGGGAATACTGCAGATTCGTTTTGTCATTTCTTTATACGATTTACCAAATTTCTTTTCCTTGACCACAACATCAATCTTCTTCTCAGGAACTGCATTCAGATCCTCGCTTATTAACTCGTTCGTTAGATTTGACAGTGTTTCAGATAAGAAAAATGGATTCGAATTCCAAATCATTGTAGGGAACAAATCTTCAAATTTACACAAATACAAACCAATTCCAATTCCCAGATAAGTCATTTCAATTCCACTCACAATCGATTTGATTTCTTCTCTGGATTCATCACACAACACACCATTTGTCAGTACCATCATTACAGATTGGAATGATCGAGCGTTACATGTACAACAAGCGTAGCGAATACAATCAGGCAAGCAAGTATTTTGACAAGGCGATAACAGGCTTTGATACAAGGATGCCACGATATTATTTTCCCATAAATCCATCGATGATATGCCTGTGGCTACACGAATAATATCTCTAGACGCCACCCACAAATCAATACAAGGCAGTTGCATATTACTCAGATTTCGAAGGATTGAAAAAATCGTAACTAGTGAATGAATTCGATTCGTATCACTGAAGGCGATCGAAGAGCAGTCAATCACAATACTCGCATTGTAACTCCGAATTTTCTCACTTCCAAGCTTCTTGAAGAACTTACCATCTCCAGTTTTGCTTACCAAATACTTGATGTAGTTTGCCATATGAATCGATGTTCCTGAAGTGGATGCAACAAAGGCTGTCGACTTATTCGGAACGAACAGAGAAAGACTCATTGCATCAAATAGATTATCACCCTGAATCACTTTATTCAGGTCTGTCAATACCACAGTCTCACCAATAGCTTTGGGATATACTAAAAGATTCTCATCAGATATGTCAACCATTCTCACAGGCTTGCTACTAGCAACAGTGTGGGTTGATACCAATGACTTGTTACTCTCAAATATCGTTTCTAAATCATCCTGAAGTGCACTAGCATATTTCATTGGAGAAATAACATCCATTGTAAAATATCCATCCAATTCCTCACTGTCGAAAAAGAGATCCATGGTCTTTAGATTCGATGGATCCAACAAATCTCCAATTTTTTCGATTATTATCAAATTATCATGGAAATTCGCTTGCAGTGAACTTTCGAGCAGGGATTGATTGGATCCATTCAATTTTTCTTCTTTTCTACCCTTAATACATAGTAAATACATTTTGGAATACTCTCCAATAATATTTCTCACCACTTCATTTGGGGACATAAGTTGTTCGCTGAATCCATCACTAATAATCACGAGAGGATCCTTTACATCAAACTGGCCTTCTACTGTCAACAAATCCAATGGAGTTGAAGGCATTTTCACTACTTCCTCAATATCAAACAAGAAAGAAATCAATTCATGCAGCGACCTGTCTTCTACAGGAATATAGACGCCCTTGTATCGTCCACAAAACACGTACAAATTGAACGAGATACCAAGTTCTCTCATCACTGTAATCAAAATGCATGAAATAATAGTTCGCATCCGCAGCTTGTTTTTTCTTAAACTGCAATTCGTATCGATTATTATGTTGACTACGGAATGAGTCTTTTTCGTTAGATATTTCTTTTCTATCATTAGTTCAATGAACTGAACTGATTTACTTCGGATAGCTTCAACAACATAGTAATCAATTAGATTTCCAATTTCCTTGAAGGATTCTTGCGTTAAAGTTTCAGAGTTGCTCAATGGTCTTACATATTTATCTGTAAAACGACGCTTTACCACCATGTCGAATAACTCATCCATTTTTACCTTGTTCATGATTTCCAAAAAAGCCTCGTAGTTCACCGCTCTGTATTTTTCTTTGGGGTTTACATTTTTTGCCTTTTTCTTGGCCTTTTCGTCAACCTTCTTTGAAGTCACACGACTGCTGACCTCTCTTTCTGCTATGACTTGAACGCGTCTTCCGATCATTTTCGAGACGCCATCAGTAATCTTTCCGAAATTTATTTTTGGCTGCTCCCCAGGTTGCGGATTATCTGGTTCACTCTTTGATTGTACTCTAAATAACTCTTCTTTATTTTGACCTGGCTGGGGGTTGTTTATTATTTCATTCTGTACAGCGGTACTACTCTTGACAGCAGTATTCACAATATTCCATTGGAGAGATGATTGCTGATATGATACGGACTTAAGAACAGACTCTGCAGCATGCTTGATTGATGGAAGAATCGTATCGTTGACACAACCATTTAATAGTGAAAGAATTCTTTTCTTTTCGCCAGATTTAGAAGAGATAATCACTAACGGTAAATCAGAAAAGGCAGACAAGAATTGGCTCATCTGAAGTGATTGCAACTTGGTTACTGATGTCTCCGGATTTGTCTTGATAGCAAATGCTAAGTTTATAGGATTTGGCTTGGTATATTCCCTCTCAAATAAGGATATTCCTCTAGAGTTGAAAGTAAAGAACTGGCCTGAAACCAAATACTGCACTTTTGAAGTATATAAGACTTCGATAATAGGGTTTGAAACAATCTTTACACTGTAATAATCATTGATGTGATACGGTTCGGATTTTCCATTAATATAAACTGACACATCAATAGGCAGAGTTGTGGTTAGTATTCTATATTGGTTTCTATAAGAATAATTACTGATGAAGCAAGGCGCTGAAGTAGTGAAATGATTACACAACATTTTTCGTTCATATGTAATTGTAAATTCTTCAGACTTCAGCTTCTCTCCATCTGCCAATCGAATCAAGTCCGCTGTTACCTTAATATTTTTCCTCCCTATATCGTTGTTCTTCATTATGATGATAAAACTGTTCTGCTTTCTAGTAATGTCACAATTCTTTCCACTCAATTCAAGTATAACTTCATTGCTTGTTGACAAATATGGCAGTACAATTTGATTTCCGTCTTGACCTATATAACTGACCGGGAAAATGTAAGTCTTATTCTTTGGTAATCCAATAGATGCATTTTCACCATCGTATAATGCAACAATAACATCATTTAAGGAAGAACCAGTTATCTGAGTGTTGAATCCAGCAGATTCCTTGGGGAAGAAATACTGTGGAATGGATTCAGTCTCTTGCTTTTTGTACTCATATGCATCTCTTTTTCTTTTTTCTTCGTCAATAATGGATTGTCTAGACCAATTAAAACTACTATAATTAAAGTAAAGTTGCTGATATTCTAATACATCGTTTTTTGCTATTGCATCAACATAGTCAATATCACTTAAGTGCCTTCCGAAACGAATATAATCATCAATAGTCCAGCTCGTTCTTAGTTTATCAAAAGATAACTCATTTGCAGGCAAAATATCATTACCAGAATGAATCTCATTACAAGATATTGAATAATAATAACTAGCTTTACTGTTTGTAACATAGAGGATGCACTCATATTTAAAATAGTAATAATACCCAAAATAAGCGATCGAAGGATTATACTTTAATGTCATGTCCTTGTGCATGTTATCATACATGAAGAGTTTATCGGGTGATAGAGGAATATTGTAATAAAAACGATATCGATCTCTTAAATACACCATACAATTCAACAGACACAGGAAGAAATACATTACATAATCTGTTTCATAATGACCAGAATTTGAACTGTACACATATCGATAGTATTGATCAAGTTTTCCAATTCTATTTGTATAATAGACAACCCTAATTTCACCACTACTCATTTTCCAATTACTTCCATCAAGCTTAATATCAATAATCCACTTAAATGGTGCTAATGGTAAAACAAGTAAATAACCAGTTGTAACTGAAACTCCATTATTCATTATATAATCCGAACTCACTCTGAACGTGTTAACTCTTATTAAATCATTCAAACCTTCAGGTGGGTTAAAAGTGATATCCATATTTTTGTTACTCCTCAATAATTCGTGATTCCTTGGAACATAAATCATTTGAAAATCAAATGGATGATAATCATATTGAGGAGTATACTCATTAATATGCTTATGGACTTCATTCCATGACAGATAATATGACAAATCAGTTTTATTTAAGCTATTAACGGCATACATGTAGGTATACATTTTTATTGTATTGTCATTCTTTTTTTCATATTCCTTTGAATATCCACTGTTCTTGGTTTTCTCTTCTGCTATTTTTGTATATTTTTCAATTAATTCTTGCCTTTTCTTTGTCACTTCATTATACCTTTGATTGTTCTCCTCATTGTTTTGAATCAATCTGGTATTCGAGTCTTCCCACTCCTTTTTCAACCTGTCTAGCTCCTCAGTACAATCGGCCTGAGCTATTTCTATCACTTTTAACACAAATTCATCTATATTATTGACCTCTTTTATCACCTTTCTCATTGCTGACTGCAAAATAGGTTTTTCCATCATATCTAACACAACATTTCCTATAGTGGTTCGCTTGCGAGGACACAGAATTGCTAGTTTGTCGTCGATTATCAATTTGCAATCACTTGACCATATTATTTCCAATAGATCATTCGATTTGACAATTGGATTGATCAACAATTGTTCCATCTTCAATAGATCACTGGGAATAATCGTTCCAGGTTTCACGTGATCTGGAAGATCACATTTCCACTCCACGCCAACTTGGGATATTTCCAAATAACTAAATTGCTCGAAATCGCCATTATTGTCGATTGCATTTATAATCAATGGTACTTTCAATTCAATAGCTCTCGCTGGAGTATTGCTAAAGCAATCTTGCAATAGGTGCTGTTTTAACATATCCAATTGTTTTGATCGATCTGACAATCCATATTCCATCATCAAACAATCGTCTTTGTACCATCCTTTCTCAAATAACATTTCAATGGCTGTCTCAAATTCTTCCTGAGTCACTTCAACTGGAGTTACAAATGGATACTGGCTGTAATCTCTCATTAGTTTATCCCACTCTAAGTACTGCATATCTTTATTTAATAATGCGTTCAACATTGTCAGTAAATAAGGAAGCAGATCTGATGAATATCCAAATTCTCTAAATATATCTATCACATCCAGTTTCAATCGTTTCAATACATCAGCATATTCACTCAAGATAAACGCATAATTTTTGAATACTCTTAGCTTGTAAATCAAATGAGATGTTTTCACAGTCCACTTATTAATAAATGAATCATACTTATATTTCTCGTAAGTCGTGTTAATTACATTAAGGTTGAGAGATTTAAATGTTTTACTGTCAATCATTCCATCCTTAAAAGCCTGTCTCAAATGTTCCTTTAGTTCTAAATTCTTTCCACAGCCATATTCAGCATCCGCAAATCTGGCTTTCATTCCCTGTTCATCATCATCGTCATCTTCTCCGTGGTCCAACAAGTAATTTTTAACGGCTGATTCTAGCTCTTCCATAGTTCCTATGATTTCATTTAAGGGCTTCGAATCCTTAATTTCAGACGGGAAGCACTTAATTGATTCAGTGACTGATCTGATGTGTTCTTGAAGATTCATTTGATCCACACGATTGGCCTTTTCTCTCAAACCTCTCTCTTTCTTTTTGACATCTAAATAACTCTCTCGTATTATAATGAGTGCCTTTATCATTTGTTCTGTAGTATCACTCCGATCACTGTTATCTAACACAGAAACAGTCAATTCACATAGTTCAATCAATAAATCGTCCTTCATAAACCTTCGCAATTCATCTCTTCTATCACAAATAAACAACAATCCCAAGTATATATTCAATTCCTCATCTTGAATATTGAATACGTTTCGTAATGAGGTAGTTTCGTACAAGTCCCAATTCGACATTGTGTAACGATAATTCAAGGGAGGGTTAATCGATGAAATCAAATACCAACGACGAAGAACACCTGCAAATTTGCCTTTTTGCCTCTTCATCATACAATTCTGTAGGTCTTTCATTTCCAGTACTTTGATTGCACAATCCATTATATAATAGATGAAATTCTTCTCAAAATAAGTTTTACAACGAGAGAGCAAAATAACTGAGTCTTCAATCATAAATGCACTCTTTGTACTTGAACAAATCTTCTCCATGATGGCAGTCATTCGTTTCATTCTTTCAGTTTCTGATAACTTCAGTGCATCATTAATAAACTCTGACAGATCATAATCAATTGATTTGGGCTTAATAATCCTCGATATTAAAGTATTATCGGTCGGTACATGCCCAAATTCATACAAAAATGCCTCTCTTTCTTCACTGTTTATCACTCGAATACATCGTCGGAATGTTTTAGATTCTTCAATTCCAAAATTACAAGGATCGTGTATTGATCCATTGATTTGGCAGATTTCTTGAACATTTGCTTGAGTCGATATTGGATCACAATACACAATCACACAACGACTCAAGAATGGTCCAGTAAAGTGTTTCAATGTATTGTCCGATATTGTAAAGAAGATTCGGAATGCTTCGTGAATTTTTCTCTCTCCCTTTTTCTTTCGCATTGAATACGTTATTTCTTCATTTCCTGCTAATACCTTCAGTGTTGGGTTTTCTTCACACAGAGAATTCAGCGATTCCATCACATCATTGTTTGCCAAATGAATATCTTCGATCACAATCCAATCTCCACTCTCCATTGCTTTCAACAGCGGACCTTTCCGGAATGTAATACACTCATTCCCATTTTCATCAATTCCAAGAGTACTTCGACCAATGAACACATCTGGAGAGCTTTCGTGATTCAAAAACACAGAAGTGCATCGTTTATCCCACATCAATGCCAGATTCGAAATACAATACGATTTGCCAGAGGGAGAAGAACCATAAACCAAAATGGCTCGTTTGGATTGTAAAGCAAGACTCAACTTGAATATCGTCACTTTCTCTGTTGAAGTAAAACAATACTCTTTGAAAGATCCTGAATACATTTGTTGTGTTTCAATGTCCCAATAACCACGAACTATGCATTGGTCGTCTTGTTTGATAATATCGACTTTCAATGTATCTTCCAGCTTCAATATCTTCTCGATTTCTTTTCTCTCCGATTCTTCATAACGACAAGCAAACACCAACCATAGAGCAGTTTCCAATGATAGGTTATTTCCATTATTCACAATCTGATCCACTTTCAATACATCTCGAAGTGAGAATGGAATCGATGTCTTTTGATAGGAGTTATAAGAGTGTTCAAACAAATCGAGAATCTGATTCTCTGTTGATTCATCTCCAGGTTTCACTAGATTACTCAAGATTTGACGAGCTGTGAGGAACAATTCATTCAGTGTGTATTTCAAATCACGATGATAAATACAATACTTGTAGAATTGACGAGGCAATGTACTGCGATTTGCTGACATGGATGCTGGATTCATACAGCAAATGATCAGCATGTTCGATGGAATATCGATCAAATCGCCTCCTGGAACTTGAAATGGATCGTGATTCACATAACAACGAATCAGAGTGAGTAATACTTCAAGCACATCTGATGGAGCCAAATTCACTTCATCTAATAACAATGCGATTCGTTGATCTGAATGATCTCCTCTTTTTAATAGTTCTGTAATACTTCCATCTCTGAATTGTAATGATCCATTCACAATCGTATAACATCCAAACAAACTGTCAATCGTTATGGTATTCGAAAAATTGATTCGCTTATAAACAAGATTCTCCTTTACGAAATAATTCTCAGCAGAAACAGTTTTGCCTACTCCAGGATCTCCTTCAAGAATCAGAGGAAGATGACTTCGATCTGCCAATACGATGGATGCCAATAGCTGAATTGTGGTCTTTGTAGGAAGTAATGGATGCTTGGACTGTAAACTTAAATACAAATCATCAATTACATCATTTGTAAATAGGAATGATATAGATTTTTTCAAGTCTTGAATCATTGCATCATCCTTGTTGCTTGATTGAAGGAATTCACTTACTTCCTTCAAATCCTCATTCATTATTCCCATTTGAATCAGATTCTCTCGAGACGCCAAATCAGATTGAAGAAATCGAAGATAGAATGGAATCACTTTCTCAGCATTCACAAATTCATTCTTCAGCATATCTGACTTTCGTAGAATGTGTAAAGGATAGTCATCTCGATTTTCAAACTTATATTTCTCCCTTTCTAATTCAGAATAGGGTTGACAAAACACTTGAATGAATTGGTCTTTCTTTGCAACTCTTCCATAATCTGGATCTTCGCATGTTACAATCGCGTTTACAGATTTACCAAGAATCTCTGGTTGAATTTGGGAATAGTCCTCAAATAGACTAAACTCTTGCGAATCCAAACTAAACAACAATGAATATAATCGAGGAAGCAATCGATCATTCAATAGATTGATACTGTTCAACACGATCGAATTGTTGCTCATTATCGAACGGAGAATCGGACCAGGACGCATCATTAACAATGATTCATTATCTACCATGCCATACAATAACCTCTTCAGGTATTCTCGATATACTTCCATTGGAGTTCCATCAACATTTTGGATTGATGTTTGTCTCAGAATGTATTGAATGTCTTCTTTACGACAAACAGAAATCTCACCAAATGTGTGAGTCATTTCCATTGAACGAGACATTTCCATATGAGCAGCATTGGGAAACAGCAAATGAGTGACTTCAAAAGCAATATCTGAATCACCAACCAATAACACAGGAAGGTGAGTTTGCTTGAAATTGGAAATAGAAAGAGTAAATAATGCTGCCCACACAGCCATATCAACACCTTTCAATAATGAGTATTCAATTGGAACTGTTGTTTGAAGAGGACCACGTTGAAGCAATGAACTAGATTCATTCTTTGGGGATTTTATTGCTGTTACTGTTGGAGTTGACAATACCGCATTCGCCATTTCCAATTCTTGTTTTACTTCAGTGTCAGCTGTCTTTTTCCATTCTTCTATCACTCTCTCCAGTAATTCTTTGCGATCTATTCGATCTGCAAACAATGCTGCAACTCGTATTATTGGATGAGGAGAATTGAAACAAATCTTATCCAGAGTGAATACTTCATTCAATGGAATCTCATTACTATCAACATGATCACATAATCGTTTGCAGATTTCACTATTCATCAGTTCTTTCGCTTCATCACTCTGGATTGGACTCATTTCACAAATATCGAAATAAGCAGGAAGAGAAGGCAGCGAATTCACTCGACGTGTTGTGAACACGAACAAAGCTCGGAATGAAGGATGAATTGAATGATTGATAGAAGCTGGATAAGTGAACTCATCAGTGAAAGGATCACAAACAGTATCAAGCATTTCCAGTAATTCTGCTGACATGTTTTCAGCATTTTCGAATATCACTAATTCTCCACTTTCTACAGCTTGAAGCAATCTTCCAGCTCGGAAATCGCCATTCATATCCATACTTCCCATCAAAGTGGAAAACTCGGTTTCTCCAGATACACTGAACACTTGATAGCTTTTGATATGGCGTTGCTTGATAATTTCGCGAACTGCATAGGACTTTCCACTGCCTCTAGGTCCACACAATGCCACAGCCTTGTTCTTGCAAATACAATAAAACAATCTTGAAGCTTCAGTCCGATGGCTTCGAAGGGATCGCAGTTCAGGAATTGGTGGTTGTTTAGCGAGCATTTCAATCAGAGATTCATCCAGTTCGTATTCACACACTTCTCTTGCAAAGCAGGCCATTCGATGGAGTTCTTGCTGATTGAACCAGTCGATTGTTTGAGAATAATCATGAATCACTTCACCAATTTCATCTCTTGTAAACTTGCCCAGTTCGGGAGAGTTTTCAAATCGCTTTGCATCTTCATGACTCACAAATACTTCCAAAAATCGATTTCTCAAAGCAGGAGAAAATGCCAGCAATCCTTTCTCAGACGTTGTTGCGATTACACGGAATTTGGGACTCATTTCGAATTCGGGTCTTTCTCGACGTTCATCAAATCGAACTACATGATGATGGCCATCTGCAGGTGATAATTCCAACACAGAGTTCAATCGCTCGATTACATTCGATTTCATCAAATGCATCGATTGAAGAACACAAATACCTCCATTTTCAATCGCTTTAAGCAATGGAGAAGGACAGAAACGAGGAACTGGTTTGCCCTTAGTATCTTTCTCGAGCGAATAGCTTCCAATTGCACTTTCTGTTGAAGAAGTCGAACTGCAATGAATCACTTCACAGGATGTTCCTTCACTCTGCATTATCTCCATTATTGCTCGGCAATACTTTCGAGATACATATTCCGTTTCTCCAATCAATAGAACATGACATCCAGATTTCAATCCTAGTCGAACTCGATCATACACATCCTTCCAGCATTCCTTGTCTAAAGCAGCTTCACTGAAAGTAATATCCGCTTTGAATACTGGATTTGTTTTCAAATCTTCATTGTATGCGATTTGTAAAGCTCGATTCAATGCTTTTCTTTCACCGATTCTCTCTTTATCCATCAGTGTTTCCATCATCCATTTTGTTCGACTACAATCTCGAAGTGTGTAATCCTTCCCTTTATCAATCTCTCTTCCAGACACATTCTTTCGATTATCAGCTCGATCATGAATCTCACACACTCTTCTTCCGATTTTTGTGTCTTTTCCAAACATCGCCGTTATGATTTCCAGTCTTTCCTCTTTACCAATCATTGGGAAGTATTTCTGTTTCGTTGAATCGTGAGTGATAAAGCGGAAACAATCGCGAATTGCAGAAGACAGATTGCTTCGTTTGTATGAGCTTCCAGCAGGATTCTGAGTGGCAATAATGCGGAAATCTCGATGCATTACACGTTCTTCACTTCCATCCTTGCCTTCATGGAGAATCTTCTTGCCAAACAAATACGATAACACACTCTGAACCACAGAAGGAGGAGCCAGAGACATTTCATCCATCAATAGCAGTTTGCCATGAATGAATGCATCCGTGAAAGCTCCGTCCTGGAATTTGATCTTTTCTATATCATCGTTCGTGATCACCATATCTCCAAGCAATTCCTCAGTTGTGGACGAAGGACTGAAGTTGTATCTCACAAAGGGAACGAGAGAACGTCGACAGTATTGCTCCACTGTGAATGTTTTGCCTGACGAAGTCACTCCCTCAATCACCACTGGAATGTTGTATTGAATCACATCTTCCACGATTTGATTTCGAATTCGGGTTTGATATGTTTCTCTGATAAACGGAGGATCTTCTTTCATTGTTTCCACATATCGATAGGCTTTCGATTCGATATACTCCCAGTCCTCTCTGTCAGAGCGTATTGCCTTTATCAGTCGAACACGCTCTTTTGTAGAATGAAAAATGAGCACATCAGATCTACAATGGACAATAATTACTTTGTTATCAAGAGGAGACAAAATGCCAATTGTAACATTCTTCACTCCAGAAATGCAGTGGAAATAGATTGTTTCGGGAATGATATTATACAATTGGGAATACAAAATTAGCGGAAGAATAAAGGTTGTTTCTTCTTTCTCAAGATGCGGCTTTCCACTGAAACTAATTCTGTCTCCCATGTGAGCCGAATCACATCCATCAGTCAAAGCAGATTGAAGGGAACGAAAACTCTCTATTATCTCACTTTCTCTTTGCTCTATTATTTTCTTCTTTATGATATATCCAGTCGTGGTAATATTAGTCTCAACGATAGTCCGCTTGTAGTGAACACTGACAGAATCAAATGATTCTGTGAAATACTCGTTGCTTCCTATTTTACAGACCAAAATCGATTCATCATTTCCATAACTTCGCTGATTACTGTCCATCAGCTCAAAATCATGATTATGAAAGTCAGTGATCTCTATATATAATGTAATTATTTGTTATTATCACCTATTGTTTTAACCCGAACGACCTTCGTAGGCTTTTGAATTTCAACCTCTTGAATCATATCCATAATATTGATATCATTTATGTAAATCTTGAACTGTACATTTTTATCCTTGATCTCATTTCTGCAATCAAAAGCGATTGTGTCTCTCAGTTTCATGTGACTTCCTTTTTCTAATACTGTTAACAATGCAACAAATCATACTCAAAATAACATTTAACTCCCTTATATGCATACTGTTATTTTGTTCAAGGAGGTGTATCAATTCAACTATTCTAGTTTTGTGATCATTATCAACTAGAGGAATGAATCACTTATTCAAATATGTTACATGGAAGTATCATTCCTGTAAACTCCATTTTGTTAATACCTGAATGATACAAAAAATCTATTTCAATATTAACGACATCATCTTGGCATAATTATAAGGACAACCAATCACCCACCTGATACATCCACAGCTTCCAAAGACCAGCATCTTGGGTCTTCAAACATATTCTTTAATTGTTCATACCCATGGTTGATTTTCCTCCCTATAATATTTAATATAGTAATATGAAAATATTACATGTACTATGAAATGAAACAGACAAGTCTGGATCAGAAGTTGAGAATATTTCTTTTGAGAGAGGCTTTACAGGGGCGATTGATAGGAACTCTATGCTACGTATAGCTAAATATGGCTTCTAAACATCATTGTTGTTATAACATACATACCAAAATAACAAACACGGTAATACTTGATTCAGTGGTCTTTGCTACTTTATCTATATTAATTGGTTTGCCATTGGTATCTAGCATAATCCATTTCCTCTTATCTTTTATATTTAACACCTTCTACTCATTACTTCAATCCCGTACAAATACCATAATCTGCTCTTCTACTAATTTCTTTCGCGTTTCTAATTCAGCCGATTTAATCACTTCATGGAATACCCGATTTTCTGATGAAAAGCAGTGGATAATTTCCAGGCCAAACTGTTCAGGGAGAGTTGGAGATGCTATTACACTGGGATTTCTTTGCAATGTTCCACGATCTCCCAAAATAGTTCTCGCAAAAGCTGTCAAAAATCCAGTACCTTCTGCGGGTAATGTGCTTGGAACTTGCTGACTAAGCAAACCACCTTTTATCGGACTCGTTTTCGATTCGTCTACATTTATTTTTGCTAATCTCATATTCCTACCAATGATTTGACTAGAGGTAAGATGTATGTCTTTCGAAACAGTAGGCAATATCGCATCTTTATCGGATTCTCTCTGTTGCTCTGCTTCTTTTTCTTTTTTGGGATATGTAATAACAGTATTCTTTATAGCCAGTGACTTGCTTTTATCAGAACGCTCTATGTTGACAGCAGGACTCGATGTGACATTTGGAGTTTCCTTTTTATCTGATATTAGCGCATTATAAGCAGATGCGAGCCATACTATAAGTAAAAGAATAGAGAACGTTTCATACAGTCCAGAGAGACTACATTACCTGTCATTATTTCGTGAATCTTACTTTTCTTTTTCAACTTTTCCTTGCTGTTAGATAGTGTTACAACCCAGGAAACTACAATTCCTGTAGTAACCTTATCTCCAGTAACTATCTAAAGTTGAAAAATACAGCACATTAAATACCTTCCAATGCTTTTCTAAATAGTGGTTAATTGTCATGTTAAAATTCACGGCGTAGTTTTTGGTGACATTATTCACTTTGTCCACAATCGTAATATACTTCTTTGGAAGTTTACTGATGTGATAAACTAGTGATTAGAAACACAAGATTGCATTACTTATTAATTGATCTTCATTCTTGATACCTTGAGATATAAATGATTCACCCAAGTTGAGTACTCCAACACGATCGTTGTAGAAATAATACTCAGATGAGTGATTTCCTTTTGCAAATTGTAGTAATACTTCTGCTTTTGCATCGACAAGAATATGTAACGTAGAACTGGATTTCTCGTTCTCATCTACTACCGTAAGGCATACGGTCTCTTCCAAGGAAGAATGGACTTAATATAAGCGAATTATGGTAAAATGTACGTGTTAAATCCAGAGAAGAAGTGATCTTTGTTTTCACAACGATTGGAGAATACCTTTCAGTAAGAAAGTACTCCTCCCTCTTTTCCTTACCGACAATACTATCCAGTATCGTAGAAACCGAAATAGACCTGATAAACATCACAACATGAGGGTTTTCTTGATTAGCAGTAAAGACTCTCACCTTCATTTTAGGCTCACACTTCAAATTGTAATGTGAAAGGTTCAGTTCTCCAATTCGCTTGGATACATCCAGTTCCTTGCCCTCAAAACTCAAAATATAGTTCGATAACTCTTCAGGAGAAGGCTTATGACGTAGCAGTTTTGCTAGGTATGCTGCCTTTATTTTTAGGACACGAACCTGTTTCAGGGTAGTTACATATTGATTTTTGCCATTCATTGTGATTGAAACTTTGATCGTTGGATTCTCGACAGGTAAATCTTCATCATTGTCAGCAACTGTCTTTGCAAGATTCGTACTGGTTTCAACTATTCATTATAACGCAAAGTAGTCAAAAAATACAGCTCCCATTGAAAGTACTCTTGCTTTGTGTCCCCCTTTGAACTTTTGAGTAATTTTGACACAATACACCTACCTGTCTTTTTCTTGATACTAACTTCGCCATTTACACCAGTATATGGAAATTCAAACGTGTTTGGAAGTAACTCATTGTTTAGAAATACTTCGTAGTTGTCTTTTTCTGATGCAGAAACTCTCAAACTCCCCAATATAGATAATAGGAAAATATCATACGTAATATTAGTGTAATACAAGTAATCACACTTCTGACCATTCCATATTATTTGGTATGTAAAAACCTGCCTCATATATATAACTCCATAGTCTTTACACTGAGATGATAGAGGTCTGGAATAATCAATACTTTTATTATCATAAAAGAAGTATGTATCATTTAGTGAAGTGCTGAAATCATTCTACATATAAAATGGCTCCATATCGTGTATACCTTGATCTGAGGAAAGAGGTCTGCGAATCGAGTTTGCTCATTTATAGTGTAGTTAACGGTAAGTGACCCATTTGTAACATAAATATTCATTCTAATATCACTATTTTTTGTATCTCTCCAATAACAAAACATAACAGATGATGAACAGCTGTTATTATCTAATAATAAGTAAATGAGGATTCACATAACTGCTCTTTTCTGAAGCAAGTGTTGGATGTTGTTAGAACGGTTGTTTCGTTCCCAGAGAATAACAGTCTGCTACTTCCCTAATTATTATCAGTTTTCAAGTATAGTTGTATTGTTAACATGCTGTGTATCAAATGGACAAACTACCCAAGATTGTCTCTCTACTAGTACCAGAATTGAATAGTAATAGTAATTATGGCGTATCTATTGTCTCATCCATCATAGTTAGTATTAGTTCTATGGTTGTTTATTTGTGTTTGGGTGTTTTTGGTTTACTATCTTGTTTGGTGTTTATCGATTACCCTATTCTTCAAGTAATCGTATTTAACATTTATTTCTGAGTTTTCCTTCACCTTTCATATGTAAGGTGGTTAGTATTCAATTATCATAAAGTTGGACTTAACGCAATATGAAAGAATACCACTTGGAAAAGGTACAGAATTACTATATCAATTAATTGTGCTGTTTTTGATGTTCTGAGAGTGTATTTCTCACTCTATTGTACGGATTCGTAGAATCCTTAGAGTTTTGTTGCACATGGTACACATCATCAGTTCAATATCATTGTGAACATGACGATGGATTGGTTTGTGGTGCTATATTCACTTAGTGATTCGGCTGTCAATAGGAATCAGTAAATATCAACCTTACAATATTCACAATAACTTGTTAAAATGTTGTAGCTTCACAACAAGCTTCTTCATCCATATACTTCCCACAAAATGATTTTAATAGCAATGCCATCCACCATACATACCTTACTCATTTCCGCTGCTTCCCAGGTCATAACTCATGTTGATGGCTGTCGAAAAAGAAAAACTACAATTCCTCATCTTCCTTGAATGCTACTCTGGCGATATTTAAAAGAAAACGAACAATCCCTATAATTCTAAGTAAAATATCGCACTCCAATTCAGTGCTACGTAGTGAAATATCACTATGTCCATGTGTATTGCCACATCGACCAATCACAACCTCACACCATCCCACAAACGCATCAACACACATTCAAACAAACATAAAAACTCATTTTGATTTTCTCTTTCCATCTCCCTTCTTTGGAGGACCTTTTCCCTGGAAACGACGTCTCAAGGCCTTCTTTTCCCAGTAATCATCATTATCTGTCTTATACATGCTCGCAACATGACCATCCACAATTCTCCTTGGCTTCGCACGTCGATAATAGAACAACTCCTCTTCATCCACTAGTTCTCCTGCCATCTTCTTTGCAAATATGTCTGTGGTCAATTCTGTGTAACGCAGCCATTCATACGGTTTGTAGCCATTGAGAATGAGATCATCCGTAGGATAGACCAGAGGTGCTCGCAAAATTTCCTGAATGGACCTTGGATTTGCAACTTGTAGAGGCCGCGCAGTTGGCTTCTTCGAAAATGCTTTCAGACCAGTAGAAACCAGAGAATTTGCTGGGAGATTGCCGAAGATAACTCTACTTACTTCCTGGAGCTGTCTTGGTATTATTACCTTCTGCATTTCTGATCCTTCCCTGACCTCGGAGCCTAAAACGTGGGATCCCACAATTCTCAAACAAACACGGAATTCTTTTGAATTATTATTCTGTTTGATAATCTTTTTCTGAACTTGCAATACTTTCGACTCGATTTCGTAGCCATCCATCTTTTGTATTGCCACATCTGCAGAGTCCACATTGTCAAAGCTCACAAATCCAAAACCACGACTTTTCCCCGTTTTCCTGTCCCTGTAAATCTTCGTAGACACAATCTTTCCGAAAGGACTAAACAAACTCATGAGATCACTCTCCGTGAAGCTCAGCGGAACATCATAAATAAACAAATTCGCTCCCACCGGGCCTACCATCAACGCCTCTCTCCGTTTCTACCTTCCTCCTGCGGCTGCGAGTAATCCAGCAGCCGGCTCGCCTTCGATCCTCCCTTCTTCCCCTTCTCCGGCTGTTTTGCCTCCTTCTTCCCCGCGGGGGGCGCCGGGCGAGGATTCAGTGCGCCGCTCGGCATGTTGGAGTAGTCCATTGTGCAGTCGGAGAACACGCCCGGCTCGGAGGGGAAGGAAAACCGCTTCCCAGAGAAGGAGACCCAGTCGTCCGCCGACTGCACCGGCGAATCGGACCGCCGAACCGCGGGGATCCGCCCGATGGGGAGCGGAGAGACCGAGCGCACGGGGATGGACTGCGGGAGGGAGAAGGACTCGTCGCGCCGCGCGAGGGCGCGCTGAGGGGGCGAGGCAAAGCGCCCGGGAACTTCTTCGAGAATGGGCTCCGCTGAAAACATGCGGCGCGCCGAAATTCCCGCGGTAGAGGCGGGAGCGGGGAGAGAGGCGGACGCAGGGAGAGAAACGGAAGCGGAGGCGGAGGCGGAGGCGGAGGCAGAAGGACGGTAGGACGATTGGGAAGCGAGAATGGCGGAGATGGACTCGGAAAGCATGGACTGAAAGCTGTCGTTGATGAAGGAAGAGGAAGGGCGTTGGAGAGCGTCGCGACTCACGGGCTGCGATTTGGTGGCAGCGAAAACGGGGTCGTAAGGCTCGTCGTCGGGGAGGTAGAGCGAGTAGCGGGGAAAAACATCGGGACGGGAAAGCGAGTCGGAGAAGGGATCGGTGGTTGCGAGTTGGGACTAGAGGAGATGGAAGGGAAGTGGGGAGAGTACATGAGGAGGAGAGTAGAGAAGAGAGCTAGATGGGTTGGAGACTGGAACAGGAGTAGCAAGAGAATGCTTCACCTCTCGACCTGACTTGGGATGCGATCCTTGGGCATAGGAGACATTAAGGTAATTCGGTTGCTGCATGTAAGAAATAAGAATTAGAGAAGAGATACGTTCCCTAACCGCACCTTCCCATGAAGACTGTTGATTAGGTTTTCCGCTATGATTTCGTTATCGACGTCGATAAAAGCGCACCCTGAGTATAAATCCAAGCCAGAATGCAAACCTCGTGGTGCATTTGTGTAGGGATCCCGAATATAGTTAAAATCGCGAATAGGAGCATACTGGGATAAGAAACAAATCACATCCTTCTGATCCATCCCTTTCGGAATGTGACCGATAAAGAGTTTACACGGGTTATTAAACAAACGATCATTTTCAGGCTGGAGATGACTACGCATGGGTCGCAAAAACACCTAGTCCTAACCACCCATCCAACTGCCACGAACTTCTTTGCAAACAATCGAAATTAAACGAAGAAACTATTGTTGGCTTTCCCACTGAAAGGCAAAATGGAATAAGCGGCCGACTCTTTACCAATCGACTCTTTCTAATGTGGATATAGACAAGTTTAAACTTCAAAACAGATCCGAAGTAGTATAGTGGTTTAGTATTTCCGCCTGTCACGCGGACGACCGGGGTTCGATTCCCCGCTTCGGAGTTTACTTTTCTCTTTTTGTTTTGACATAATGAAACATCATTCTAGAAAGCGATTCGCCATGGAGGAGAGAAACTTGAAGAAAACCGAATTAAGTCCTAAAGAGGTGTCCGAAGTGGATCGCTTGCTTGATTTGCATATTGGAGACTCTGTGACGTTGTCCGGAGAAGAGCAGTACATAGCAATTTCGATTATGCTACGAAAACAGAATTGTGCGTTCTATGTACTCAATAATAGTATTTTGGCAAAGGCGTATTATGTGGATGATGTACTCGAAAAGGAATTGTATATTGCAGATTGTGAGAATCATAAGCTTCTTGCTGGTTATTCTATTAGTAAGAATGTGGTAACGGGTATTTTGGATATTGATTCTGAATATGCCATTATTGATCTAACGGATCATGGAGTTCATTGGGAAGGTTATGTGCGAAAATCAGATAGGGGTATTTGTGGCTGGGGTCAAATGTATAACGAGGTGAACGAGTTGACTTACTCTGGATTCTGCATTAACGGCGTGTATACGATCTATGGGCTCTTTTACCAGGGCGATTTGAATACTGTTTCATACGTTGGAATGATAGACGAAGGAGTTCCATTTGGCTTGGGACAGAAGTTCGATCGCCAATCCAACCTCATCAATGAAGGAGTGTATGTGTGTGATCGTTGGATGGAGTCCACGCAAGTCGTTCCGAATATTGTGGATTCTTCCTTCCTGCTTTCTTCTTTAGTCGAGAGCATTGATCTGACGGATTATGCCTTTTGCTACATGCCATGCAACTTCTCTTGTTTCCCTCATCTCTTGAAGATCAAAGGCTCTTCCAATACGTTCTACCGAGTGCAAAGCTTGGTTCTTGAAGGCCTTCAAAATCTCCAGCAGTTTTCTCTTATCACCAAGGAGTTGAGCCAGGACAACAAAGACTACGAATTGGATGAGAATAAAGTGAAGAAGGTTCTCGGGAGAATGGAGATCCGGAATTGTCCTCAGTTGCTGTTAATTAACATTGGAGATAATTGTCTTATTTTACCTGAGGTTATTATTCAAAGTATGTGGAGAGAATGGAATGTTAGATAGACTGTCCCTCTCTGCGAAGTCTTGATATTGGTTCTGACAACTTTATGTACACTGACGATTTTGAGTTGAAAGGTGGGTGGATTTTTCTTGATTGTGATTGTGATTAGATCTTCCTCTTTTGCAGGATCTTTGTTTTGGAGAATCAACATTTAGTTTTGTCAAGTCTTTCATTCTTTCTGGTTTGCTTTTGTATTAACTTTCATTCCAGATTTGCCTTCATTGGAAAGCGTAATCTGCAAGAAGGACAGTTTCAATGGATTATCGATGAGTTGTCCCAAGAATTTTGTGGTGTTTGAAAGTAGTATTGAATCAACTCCCTGATGTATAGAACTTCCATCCTTAAAGAGACTGGAGCTTCAAGAAGGCGTCTTCGAGTATATAGGAAACTTGCGATTTGATGGACTGGATCCCACGTTCTTTATGGTGGGATGCAGTGTGCTACGATGTTATTCACTGAAAGGAAAGATGAAGGCAGACATGAAAAGCAAGTTATTAATGAATTGTTCTTATCTGCGAAATGATATAGCGAAGCACAATCATCTCAAAGAAATTCCAGTGGATCGTACAATCGAAGTGCTGACGATCGGAACGGGTAATTATAACCAGGTTTTGCATCTCGATTTGAGTGGATTCTCGAAATTGAAAGAGTTGACAATCGGAGATTATTCATTCCGAAAGTGCACCTCTTTTAAGTGCCAAGGATTGGAATCTTTAGTTAAAATTGTGATAGGAAAGGATTGTTTCTGTGATATGGAATCTTCCTTTTTTGATTTGGAAGATGAATATTACATGGATAATGGTGATGGAAATGATGACTATGATGACTATGATAATGAGAATGATGAGAATGATGACTATGATGAATATGGTGATGAATATGATGAATACGATGATGAAGAATACGATGATGATGATCGAAACGATCGAAACGATCGAAATGATCGAAATGACGAAAATGAAGGTGATGAATATAATGATCGAAGAGATGAAGAAGGTGAAGAATATGATGAAGAGTATGACGAGGAATATGATTCGGATGATTTTAATGGAATCGAAATAGAGGATGTTGACTTGTTAAATGACTCGATGGGTGGTTCAGATCATGATTTGTCGGACGGTGAAGAGTAGTATTTGTAAGGATTATTCATATTTTCTACCCCGCTGTTGGGCAAGCGCGAAAAGAGTCGAG